ATGATTCACTGTGAGATAAGTAGCCATTGGAGGCCAGAGGGCAGGCTTGGGTGATCATTTCAGCCATTGTTAGGGAATGATCTTGAAAATAGATCTATCGGGATTCTGCCAATCATTTTGTTTCATTTTTTTTATTAATGATTTATTTCCATATAAAACTATACATATATTATATACATATGTCTGCGGCTTTGCAGAACTGAATTATAAGCCACAAGTAAAGAAGTTTGTAAGAGAAAGTCTGCAAGTTGCTACGAGCAAAAGAATAATTAGTGTAAAATTTTGTTTCATTGTATCAGTCAATTTACTATTATACTAATTTAGTGATTAAGTAATCCCAAAGAATTAAGTTTGCATGTCATATGTGTAGATTCATCAGTCGTTTTTACATGGAATATGACATAAAGGTAAAATTAATTAATTTCTAGTTTGCACATTTGTTTTTACGAGGCCACAATAAAGTAGCCAGTCGTCATCACAATGCGTCATCAACATTATCTTGATTGCGTTCCTTGGGGGAAAAAGCCTCTCAGCCAGGTTAATTACACCACCTTGTTCGAAGTCACTTCTTTGAGTGTGTTTTGTGCGGTGATTAGTTTTGTTATGATATCTGGTACACTACGCCATTTGCTATGTCCTTGACCTTGTGTAAAAGTCAACATACAGACGGAGGTTTCTGCGTCAGGCTCATTTGTTTACATTTTATGTTCCCTTCACATGTGGTGACATATTGTCGAGTCTCTAACATTTTTGTGGATGGTGTTTCGCGTTTGATGGTTGGCACTTGATGTTTGGAGTTTGGCAATTGTAGCAATTGGCCGGTGGTGACATTTTGCATTTTAATGCCCAGTTTTTACTTTTTCTATGGAAATTGAACACCTTTGTTTTATATTTTCAAACATGGTTGTGCTGAATTCAGTTCCCTTGGGATTCCATGTTAACAATTGCCATGTGATGCATTTAAGCTTAGGTGGAAGTGACCTGTATTTTCACTAATGCCTCTATGCTTTGTAAATTAACAAAGCTTGTCATGAAAATTTTACATTATAATGAAGACAAAGTAGAAATCATTGAAAACCACATTGGTTTCAGAAATATTTACGTGTATCTTGTATTTCTGACGTTTGTGCAATTGAATGGGGCTGAATCACGGAATATCAGAATCAGATAATATATAGCCTTTATATTAGCAATGATTGAGGACTCATTTAAAAACCAGGGTTTGATACACACAGCTGCCTCAATGACAATGGTAATCACTTTTCACTCTGCAATGAACTTGGAAAACGAGTTGCAGGCCTGTAGCCAGGGGGTTTGATGGATTCTAGCGAACTTCCTTCCCCAGCCAAAAAGTTTTTTCAAAATCATGCAGTTTTTCACTATTATGAGCACTTCCTAAATGATTTTGGCCATTTTGGACCAAAATTGTCAAAAGTGAACCCCCCCTGAAAATTTTTAAAAATTGACCCCCTTGACAAAAGGTGACTACGCGCTTGAGTTGCCTATTTGATGAACTGAACGGCGAACGCCATTGGTAAATTGGCGACAATTCTGTTTTCAGCCTTTGTCATGCATGAACCCTGTTAGCTCTGTTAGAAACATGTAACTTGACAATTGTGACTTGTAGCTACAAAAATCAGCATTGAAATATTTGAATATTGTCAAGGATTTTAATTAAGTATCTTTTCTTCGATCTGTATTTTCTGAGGAAATGTGTCAGGCATCTTTGTCGAAAAATCTCAGCAATTAATACATCTTGGGTCCAATTAATACGTGAAATCGAGAAAATTGCAATGATGTAGACTGTAATATTCATTGTTAGCTTCGTTGTGAAATATTTATGTTTGCCTTAAAATACTTCTGACAAGAAGTTCTCCCATTGTCACTAATTGGCAGATGAGTGTCAAAATTGATCACCTCTTTTGCTGATTAACAATTAGATTGAACTCTACATGCATACAAATTTATTGCATCCTTAAGATCATGTCGCTCTCATTGCTTTTTTGCCAAAATTGATACTGAATGTGCCATTTTGTTGCATATACATGTACTTCAGAAAGTAATAATTAAGACACGTTAAGGCAGTTTCTTATTTAAATGTACATTGTATTTTGTTAGCTTAAATGGCATGAAAAATGGCCCTTGAAAATAGTTCCATCTTTTGTTGTTGAAAGTCATCCGATTTTTTGGAGTTCTAAGATTCATTTCAATTATGATTTTCAAGAAAAGTAACATGTGATAACTGTTTAGTAGGAATAAAATTATTTAGTATTTTTAGGAATACAATTACATGTAATTTAATATAGGTTTAAGTACATGTATATCGTAAAAAAGTGTATATACATAAACTGAATAACATTTATAGGATCTCCTGTAATTAACCATTATCATCTTCTTTGAGGATTTTAACATAAGAGATCTGAGAGAAAAATTAATAATAGAAATATTATTTTCTTATTTCAGGCGTCTGAGTAAGGAGAATGTGAAACCCCTTGGTCGACAGATTGGTAAACTTTGCCATGGCAACCCAGGAATACTCTTTGAATATGTGAGTAGAATTCTGTTTGAAAATTGAATACAATGTATATGGAAAAAATAAAAATATTTGTTGTATGTATTTATTATGTGAGACATCTTTCTAAGAATGAATATGAAATCTGCTACTCGCCACAGCTATACATAATAAAAAAGAGGCTTTGATATGTTGATTTAAAAAATCCTATTAAAATATTTCTTTAATGACATTTTAGTAGATTTGCTTATTTATCCATTAAAGAGAGAATCAGATCTTGTGAGCAGGCCAACAAAAAATTGTTTCAATTTTAGAATACTTCTGGTTCATGTCATTCCTTGTCATGTCTATTTTCTAAAAGTCCCCAAAGTGAACACTTTATTTCAGGAAAACTCAAGATTTTTACAATAATGAATTATTTTTTTATAAGAATGGTTACCATTCTTATTATTTTGGAGAATTTAAACATTTTTCACCCATTTTTGCACTTTGAATCAATAATAACTTTACCAATTTAAAACCTATTTTGAATCTTTTTTTGAGATATTGTATTTGAGATTGCAACGAATAGATTGGTAGGTCAATTGTACATGTTGCTTGTAATTTTGTCACCCCTATAGATCTGATTCTGCCTTTAAGAACTTTTTCTATTGGATGACATATTGGAATTCTGACCACAACTTTCAAGTAAAAGTACTTTGACATTCACAGTTATTTTCTCGTTTTCAATTCTCATTGATTTTCTGCAAAAGCTTGGTCTAAATCCCTATTTACAAAATTTACAAAAAAATGTGTGTAAAAATCTTAAAAGTTGATTTAATCTATAAGGATCACAATTCTAAGGTTTGATCAGAATCAGCCTGTCAATTAGACCAACTGATGACATACCAATGAAGTTTTACATAAACTCAATTTGAAATATTTGATGAATTGATAATCAAAATAACATTTGTCAGTTTCTCCATACTAAGGTATAATGTGCTAGCCCAACCCAAACTCCTACTGCCACCTATTTATTCATTTATGTATAAAAAGTCCTATATTGTCTTTACCAAATTTACATATTGTTTGTAGGTGTTGTCTACGATTCAGCGCTATGACAACTTTATTGGACCAGTGGTAGATTCCCTCAAGTATCTCACTTCACTCTCATACGACATATTGGCCTGTATCCTTTTACAAACATAGAAATTAATTTCAGGATTTAATTTTGACTTATTAAATGATCTATGAGATCAAATGTATTACAGATGTATGCAGATTACAGGTGTATTGCAAATGTATTATACATGTGTACAGAGGTATTACAGATGTACACATATGTTTTATTGTTGGAGTGTATAAAAATGTAGATTTATATCCAAGCGCAAATTCATCTTTATGGTTAAATCATGGGTTTTCAACTTTCTCTTGAAAGCCAATGATTTAATGAACTTGAGTTAGTTATTGTATATTTATAGTAGTTAATGTTCAAAGTTGAGGCATTTTCCTTGATTCTGGTGCCAGATTGCATCATAGAGGCTCTTGCCAATCCATCGCAGGAAAGAATGAAGGTGGATGACACAAACATATCACTATGGTTACAGAGTAAGTCACAGGGGGAAATTACCCAGAATTCAAAGATGAATTCAGAGATCTATGTTCGTCTTTACATTCTTTGAATTCTGGGTTATTCTCACTTTTTCGCCACAATTCAAAAGTCCAACATTTCTTTTACACAATGTGTGCTTTTAATTGTGATATTTCTAAAGGCATGCTTTTTGGAATAAAGTCTCAACGAGTGTTTATGATACCCTGGTTTTCTTTAAAGAACTGGTAAAATATATAAGACTGCTCATGATTTTAGTTTACTATAAATGTATACCTAGAACTACATTATAGACATTCTATTTAGTACAGTATAAACTTAATAATGCATGTACATGTAAGATTGACAGTGTAAAGCCTGTGGGTAGCATATAAAAAATTAACAGAAATCAAAGTTAGAATAAGATAAAACTCTATTTTACAATTCTTTGTATTGTGTTTCCATAGGATACAATAAATAGACATGAAACATTTGTACAATATGAGTATTGTAATATATTTTTCCGGGACAGTATAATGATTAAGAGTTGGTTCAAATTAGTTCCATTAATTTCTATTAAGATCTATGAGATCAAATGTATTACAGATGTATGCAGATTACAGGTGTATTGCAAATGTATTATACATGTGTACAGAGGTATTACAGATGTACACATATGTTTTATTGTTGGAGTGTATAAAAATGTAGATTTATATCCAAGCGCAAATTCATCTTTATGGTTAAATCATGGGTTTTCAACTTTCTCTTGAAAGCCAATGATTTAATGAACTTGAGTTAGTTATTGTATATTTATAGTAGTTAATGTTCAAAGTTGAGGCATTTTCCTTGATTCTGGTGCCAGATTGCATCATAGAGGCTCTTGCCAATCCATCGCAGGAAAGAATGAAGGTGGATGACACAAACATATCACTATGGTTACAGAGTAAGTCACAGGGGGAAATTACCCAGAATTCAAAGATGAATTCAGAGATCTATGTTCGTCTTTACATTCTTTGAATTCTGGGTTATTCTCACTTTTTCGCCACAATTCAAAAGTCCAACATTTCTTTTACACAATGTGTGCTTTTAATTGTGATATTTCTAAAGGCATGCTTTTTGGAATAAAGTCTCAACGAGTGTTTATGATACCCTGGTTTTCTTTAAAGAACTGGTAAAATATATAAGACTGCTCATGATTTTAGTTTACTATAAATGTATACCTAGAACTACATTATAGACATTCTATTTAGTACAGTATAAACTTAATAATGCATGTACATGTAAGATTGACAGTGTAAAGCCTGTGGGTAGCATATAAAAAATTAACAGAAATCAAAGTTAGAATAAGATAAAACTCTATTTTACAATTCTTTGTATTGTGTTTCCATAGGATACAATAAATAGACATGAAACATTTGTACAATATGAGTATTGTAATATATTTTTCCGGGACAGTATAATGATTAAGAGTTGGTTCAAATTAGTTCCATTAATTAATTGATTCTATAGTATTATAGCACTTGCGTTACTATATAACTTCTAGCAACTGTGTAAAAAACTGGAATGAGTGTCCAACACCTAAGATTAACTGAGTAGATATGACACACATAACAGAACAATTAGTACAAACATTAAAAAGCACATTTTTTGAAAGTTTTAAGTCAAAGGAATGAACAAGTGAAATATAAAGTTTAAACTTAACAAAATGATTGCATATATACATGTACTGTACAATGAGTGATGAAGGGACCTGTTAAAATGAGAACTCGTAACAATACATGGGGATTGATCAATATGAAATGAATGAAATATGTAGATGACTATGTCATGTACATATGGTCCTTAAAAATGTCCATAACAGTCCACCCATATCAAAATGCTTTCCCATCTGAGAAGTGAGTTGTGCGCTGAAGCAGACATAATTTCATAATATGTTCCAATATGTTCCGCTTTATCTTCTACCCTGTCCAAATCCTTCCAAAAGACCAACAGCCTCTCGATTTCTACCAAGAAGCCCGAGAAGTTCATCAAGTTCAGCATTGGCTGCAAGTAAAGAACAATAGTATATGATAGACAAATATTTTTGTTTCGTTAAGGTTTTTAACAAGGTAAAGCAGAGAGGTACATTTATTCAGGCTTATATAACATTTGCACAGTTTCCCTGATTTGAATACTGGTCAGTTAATTTCTCACAATTTCTAAAGGTCCTGGGTTTAGATTTTCATATTTCAATGACTATTATTCAGATATTTTATTTATGAAAATACTTCCCAGTACAGTAATGTGTCACTTAAATTATCAATTTGAATCAATCAACATACTCATGCAATTACTCACAAATAAATTATTTGGTGAATTTGAAAAAAAACACCCCTTACAGTTACTTAAGATATTCACTTAGAATCATTAATTGACTTACTCATGCAATTGTTCACAAATGTGTTGAGAACAAATCCTTTACAACAGACAATTTTTCTATCTGGACATCCATTAACCCATTCAGTTGCGGGAACCTCCCTAGTATCAGTCACCGACTGGTACTGGACCTCCATACTACAAAGTTGAATTATTTTTTATTCACTATTATTCTATGATGTTTAAAAATTATAGGATATCCTGATTTTGAGACTGATCAGTTTTATGAGGACAGTGATATTGATATATGCACGGGTATACTCTGATGTATAATATCATTGAAAAATAAATTTCACAAAAAATCAAGCGGTTAGCATATCGTCACAATATCCTCCCCATATTGGTTTTCCGGAGTATATCATGGCAATATTCCCTCGTTATTCATTTTGCCAATACTGTAGATGTCAAATTAATTTTTTAATGTTGCTATGCATTTACTACCATTTAGTACGATAAGTGTAGGATAATAATTAAGATACACATTGTGAAAGAATTGAGAGAGAAAGCTCAATATTTCAATATGTTTTGGTTTTGGTTTTATCACTTTCACCATCATGCTTGCAGTTTTAGACACTTATGATGTATATGTGGCATCCCTTGTGCAGCGCTTCCATCCTCCAAAGCCACATTTTCCTGATGTCCGACGGGTTTTGGTTACTTGAACTACTTTTCTCTCAGCTCTCGTGTGGTACTCTTTATTGTAAACAGGGTCCTCCTTGCAGCACCAGTGACTACAATGGAATGAAATACATCTGGAACAACTCATACAATGATATATTGACCCACACACAATGCTTTTGATTTCCCAAAACTTGTATAATGCAAAAAATTCTAATATGAAACACTTTTGATTGATTATGATAAAGCTTTATTATGGTGACATCTTAAAATTATAAAGATTTCCCTTCAGGTGGCCATTTTTGAATTTTCTAAGATAAATCTTAAATACATTTTTGATATGTTAATTATTTACATAATGAACTAAAAAATTGATCACTTAAATTGTGGAGGGCCAGGGCTATTTATTTCAGTACTTATTTTACTCAGATCAATACTAAAGATTGTAGTTTTTAGTTTTTTAGTGACTAATACATTGAAATTACATAAGATATGCTTACTTATCATTGTAATGACATCAGAGAGTCAATAAAAGATATGTATATTATTGACGCGAATGACACAAGATGACACATTGGATAATTAATCCTAATTATCCCAACGAACGAAGTTCGGTAGGGATATAGTGAAGCCGTCCGTCAGTCCGTCAGTCCGTCAGTCCGTCAGTCAGTCAGTCCGTCCGTCCGGAAGATAACTCAAATATTAGTTGACGGATTTTCTTCATATTTGGTGGAAAGATGTATATTGGTAAATAGTTTTACGCAAAAAAAAAAGTAATTAATATTATTGTTTGAAATTTTGGTAGTATATTTGCAACATCTATTTGTTTCACATATATTCCGTGTTTTTCAGGAAAACAGAAATTTTCGCTAATTTTTAGATCTTTCTGAGCTTTATTATACTCAAATGAAAGGCAATTAAGAGTAGATTGCAAATATTGTATCTTTTTTCTGATTCGAGCCTCGTAAAATTCAAAATGGCCATCTAATGTACGATTTCGCAATAATTTTTCGATCCCTTCAAAGTATGGCTATATTATACTCAAATTGAAGGAATTTAGGAGTAGATCACAATTATAGTATTATTTTTCAGATTTGTACCTCAGAAAATTCAAAATGGCTGCTTTGCAAGAATTTGCAATTCTAAAATCTAAATTTTTCAATTTTAACCAAAGTAATGAGTATAATCGATTGGAATTCGGTAATTTATATTTTGTTCGTTGGGATTTGCCACTCCGCGGAGTTGCCGTTATCTAGTTACAGTTGTATATTCATTTAGAGATATAATTTATACTGTAGTCAATGATATGTCATGATTTTCCAAGAGATTTCAGAAGGTTTGAATTAGCTGTATTCTGAAATTGTGGTAGATTCTCGGTCTCATGTCCTATACTGCAAATGACAGGGTTGTGTTGTGTTGTTTTGGAATCTCTAATTCAATCCAAGGTTTCTTTATATCATTTCTTAGACACTTTAAAACAAAATATGAATGAAACTAAATGAAATTTTCTGCAATATGAATGAAGAAAAAACATTTGAATATACTATTTCTGAAAAAGGTCAGGTTGACTAAATTGTAATCGTTTTGAAAATATCAAATGTTTTCGATAACACTGAAATATCATTTGATGAGAGAATGAAATTAAATGTAAAATAAATATATATATACTATGTATCAGAATATGGCTCTGTCACAAAATGATTAAAATTGTTATGTCAATTAATTTTACTTTTTCTCTAAAAACGTTAGAAAATGGGATCTGACTCTTTATACTCTTTATTTCACTTTAAATTTGAGAATGAATAAAAGATAAGTACAAAAAATACTTACGTGTTATCTCCTCGTGTACCACCAGCCCGCTTCATTCTTTTTAATCCTGTGGTGACAATGTATTTTGTATACTGGCTCATTTGTGTTTTGTTAACAAAGTATTCAACAGCTTCAAGGTTTTTCTTAGCCTCCTCGTCAGTGTATTTAACAACTTTTGAGCTAGGAATGTCCTTTGCAAAACCTACTGCAATGCAGCAGACCAGGCACAATGTTAAAGCTATGTTCATGGTAGTCATGGTTCCCTTCGAGTTCTGACAGTGGTGTGAGGTTTTCTTCCACTGACTCCACTTTTATACCTTGCTTATCTCACTCTTCCACATTTCTCAAAACTGGTGCCTTATCTTCTGTAATATGAGACCTTTCACTCTTTATCAACCATACTTTGGACTGGAGTCTCAAACAAAGGAGTTGGGTAAACAAGGCCATTTTAAGTCCCACCTGATTTTCAAGTTTTCTCTTTATTTTATTAATCTATGTGATATATGTGTTTCAAAAATATATGGAAATTTAGGTCAAGGTCATATTCCCCAGGTCAAGGTCAAATTGAAAAAAATCATTATTTTCTACCAAAATATACCTTTTTGGTTAAAATATCACAAATATCTGTAGGAATTTAGTCTCATAGAGGTTGGAATTACAATATATAGTAAATTGGCAATTTGCCAATAATGAGATATTTATATTAATATATTCCGCCCTTCCCACGCAACACTGAAAGAGAACAAAAGTACCTAAAATAATGAAAATACTTTATTATTTTTAATTCATTTTAATTCAGAATGTACATTTTTCGTTTTGTTTTAAAGCTTGTTAATAAAGGTTCAAAATGTTATATGATGAATCAAACTGTATCATTTTATGTCACCATCATTGGTTGATGACAAATCGAACTTGAAAATAATAAGTAAGTTTCAGAAAAATGTATTATAGAATAAAAAGGTTATTAATGGTCGTGATGGAATATGAATTTTTACCTTGAAAAAACATGATATTGGCTTCCGAAAATATCAAATTGACACTCTGGCTGTCGCCCTCTGTCAATACGATATTTTCCTCTGCCAATATCATATTTTCCCTCAGGATAAAATTCATATTCCATCCCTCCCATTATATAACCTCTATGTATTCAATAGCAATATCACCCAATGAGAAATTCAATATCGCCCAAAAATGACCCAGATAATGGCCAAGTATGAAAGCAATTTCACCCTAAATATAAGTCAAGTAATGTCCTAATATCATAGCAACATCAACCAATTGTCAATCAAATGTCACTCTATATCAATCCAAAATAACCCAAGTATTGGCCTCATATTATTTAAGTAACAATCCAATATCAACCCTCTTATTTACCAAATATCACCCAATTATTCTGATTGTAATAATATCCCACTGTAAATCCAATATCAGCCAAATATGAGCCAAATAATGGACCCAATATGATAGCGATATCACCCCAATATCAATCCAATATCACCCAAATATTGGCCCAATGTGATAGCAATATCACCCAAATATCAAGCAAATATTGGCCCAATATGATAGCAATATCACCCCAATATCAATCCAATATCATCCAAATATTAGCCCAATATTATAGCAATATCACCCAAATATAAGCCCAATTCGATAGCAATTTCTGACAAATATCAATCCAATATTAACTTTATATCTGCCCAATTACCAACATATTGCCATTACATAAGCAATATCAAAAAATATAAGTTCTGATATCAACCTAATATCACAACAATCTCCTCCCAAATCAAGCTTATATTACCTCAATATCACTTCTATTATTAGTTGCAATAGTCAGTATTCTTTCTTTTACCCTATATTGTTGTAATCATGAGATAATTTACAAAGATATATAAATTTAGGGGTAATTAAAAATTATGAATTACTCTTACCGTTTAGTTTTGAATGCTATTTTGAATGGCGACACAGTAGGGTCATCCTTCAGTGGTGAGTTGCCATTATGGTTGGTTCGTTTTGAATCTAGACGACAGTTATTGCATATAATCTGTCCAACTTTGGCATTCTTGACTTGTGAAGCTAAATCTTCTGTAACCTTTCTCCGTTTTCTAGGAGAATTTACCTGCTTCCTACATATGCAGCATGAATAGCATTTGGCCATTTTGAATAATCAACAAAAATGGCAGGCAAAATTTTCTATAAAGTTCTAAAATTCACATCGAGCATAATAAGTCTCCATCAAAATTATTCTTTGTATGCAACAATATAACATTTATGTAACTAAAGAAGCACTTATTAGAGTGGAGACTTGTTATGCTCTATGTGAAAACACTCAAAGGATTAATACCTCTAGTGAATAAAAATGTCGCCCAGACTCAGCATGAAATGTCCTTTCAAAGCTTTACTTACCTCTAAACTGTACATATTGTTTAAATCAATTGTATGTATGGATCAAATAAATATATATTTACATAATCCTGGACAGATAAATCAAAAACATTCATTCATAGCTGAGTAAATTGGAATTCATCAAGAGGGTTGCAAAATATGTGAATTTTTTTCCTTCTGGCCCCCACCCTCTTTGAAGGTCTCCAGACACCGTAACAATTTTTTCTAAATTTTTTTAAAAATACTACCCAAAAATATAGACTTCAATCTATGCATTTCTAATGTTTTTTTCTCCTATTCTTAAAAAAAGTTTTTTCACACTTCAATTGGGGCACTCTCTGTTGCTAGTTTACCCAACTCCTTTCCAATGATAAGAGATTCCCTACAAAGGACTTTGCTACATGTGCTTCACTGTGAATTAACTCTTGTTTTTTTTAAAAGTTGTATTAGAAAATGAAATATCTTTAAAATAATCATCATTGATAATTATCTTTTAAGGGTAACTCACAACATTTAGCAAATCAAACGCACGTTGTTGCTGTTGCTCACCATTTAGTACAAAGGGTGCAATCCTGAAACAATGCTCTACTTCTATTTACAAAGCATGGTTTTTGAAATGTCCTGTAAATGAAACAATATATTTTGGACTAATATAAGAATTCTTAGTGGCTGATGCCTTTCAATATTTACAGATTGCAAAGTTTTTAACAGATTGTTTTATCTTCAGGATAATGATTTCAAGTAACTGTAATGTACCAAACTCCCCTTATTTCTTAAAAATATACTGATCCCGGAGAATTGTTTGGAGTCACCATATTATTTTTATATGGGAAGCTTTACATCTGTATCTGTACATTACAAATTTGAAGACATTCCAGTCAATTATAATGATATTTTCATGATGATATCTCTGTTTGACAGTGTAATAGCATGAGTAAATAACAGTCAATGGGAAATCAGTAATAAACACAGGCTGATTTCATCAAATTACCAGGGTTCAAGTAAACAATGCAGGATCAATGTACTTATGAGACTTATGCCTTCCCCAGGTAAATCTAAACAATGTAAATATAAACAATGTAAACAAAAGCAGCCTTATCCTAAATAAAATGCTGATTTCTCAGAACAACAACAGAACATGATTGATAACAATTTGAACAGTTGCAGAGTGCTTAAGCATGTAAACAACAAAATCACACCATTCCTGTAAAGAAAAAATAGTATAATTGTGATTTCTACAGCCTTGACAATATTTTTTAGTCTCTTAAAAAACTGTATATGTTGAATGCTATTATGCCAAGAAAAAATGTTCCTTGTTAGTCAGTGTTCGCTACAGTCAGAATTTGATATACAGGGTGTCAAATAAGTCCCGTCCCCCCTGCTACAGCTAAAACCTTAACAGACAGTACCTAGTAATACACCATTGGAAAGATCATCCAAAGTTATGTTAACTCACCAACTCTCAAGTATTTTGGATGAAATTTACCTATATTTTTATGATGTCTTTTATAGTTAACGTGCCCTCCTTTAAGTAGCCTTTTTGCGTCAAAATGACAAGGATATGACCTCAGAAATACGTCAAAAAGTTAATATTTTTCGCATTCCACTTGTTACAAAAAGGTTTTCACCACTTTCCTTGCACCTCTATTTTCTACACATCTAACCCTATCCAGAAATTGGTTAAATTCATCGCCATACTTCTTATACCCGATTCTTAAAATCCTGACAAATACGCCAAATTGCCATGTTTCTAGGCATATGGTCACTTCAATTGATACACTGTAAAAAATTGTGAGATTGAGTGACATGTGTCAGATATATGCCAATCAACGTAACTTTGGAAGACCTTTCCAATGATATATCACACTTGGTACCAAATATCTTGGTTTTGGCTGTAGAGGGGGGGACGGGACTTATTTGACACCCTGTATATTATATGAGAGACAAGTTATTTAAAAATGCTATGTAATTTGTAATTTTAGGTTATTTTAAATCTGTTCCGTTTCTGTATTCAGCTAACATTAGAGGTGCCTATGACATCTTGCTGCTAAGACAAAGTTTGATATTTTCTACCCATGATAAGTTTTCTACCCATGATAAATTATCTACCCATGATATATTTTCTACCCGTGGTAATTTGTTGTTACAGTGTTATATGAAGTGACTTTTAAACTGACTGTCATGTGACCAATTCATCCTTATGTTATCATATTTTAACCTCTTCATTATAATGATAAAACGGTTGTATCCTCTACACAATTGTATTAATTAAAGGACTATATTGGAGTAATTTAAGGTTTTGATAACATCTATTATAAGGGCTATCTTTTATTAGTTTAATCAAATCTGTTTTTTATTTAAATTGATGGGATAAGAAAAAGATTCAGTATTTACTGTACACATAATTTTGTCAAGATTTAGTGTTTACTTTTCATAGTAAGTTTGGTGTTTTATATAGAAATGTACTTTAACATGAGAGTCAATGGGAGAAAAAGGTTTAGTCAAAAAAAAACTCAAGAAAGGTGTTCATTAGAGAGAGGTGTTCACTAACATGGGTTTTACTTTATATATCAACATTAATATTTGATGATAGTGTTCATATCAATTGATTTCTTATCATTTCTTCTAGGTCTGGCTAACTTTGCTGCCTCAATATTTCGCAAGTACCAAGTGGAGTTGGCGGGACTTCTACAGTATGTGGCTAATCAGCTCAAGGCAAACAAAAGGTAACCATATTTGGGGAACAGGATGATGATGCTGAATTTCAAACATTTTATATAATTTTTTACTAAATATACCTTTGAACAGAGGATTAAGAAAAGCCTTCAGTCCATTTGGCCTACAAAAACAAAGCTTATTACAGAGTTTATTAAGAAACGAAGCTTCATATGACAGGGTTCGTACACACCTGGAAATGTCAGGAAAATTGATTTATTTTTCCAGGTGCTGGAAATGTCAGGGAATTTTGAAATTAGGTCAAAAAGGGCCAAAAATGTCAGGGAATTTTGAAACAGTAGATATGTCAGGGAAATGTCAGGGAATTTTGAATCAGAATAAATAATGTTCCAGCAAAATACATTTTAGAGATATGACAGGATATCAATATCAGATATCAATATCTAACATTTAGTTGTTTCCACATATCTGAAATCTTTTTATTAGGGTTGATTGAATGAGATTCTATCTGGTATTGTCTTTTTGTCAGAACAGTATGAACATTATACTGAAACAGAACCATAAAGAATATACATATAAGTATAGATGGTTCAATACAATTATGCCTTAGGGACAAAAGAAGAAATATTCAAGATGGTCTCTGAATTCAAAAAGACCAGGAATTTTAATGAAATTGTTGATAATTTAAAGAAAATTTTTTCCTGGTAACTTAAATACCAATGATTTGATTTGGTATCATAGGCCTCTGCCTTATAGTGACACTACTTGTAAAGGAATTTCTAATATGATATCATATTTTGGTGCAGATTTCCCAAAAGGAAGAAGACAAGACAGGTTTACATAATGTTCGCAATGATCAGTATTTGATAAAATATGTTTCATTATGTGGATATTGCCCATCTGGCCTCTTAATCAGGGGAGTTGCTATTTTGTAGTATGACTTTTGATCAAAATTTTCTGTTGTCATTTGGATTCATTACAAAACATTAACAAATTATTGTTTGAAATGCTAAGAATGCACCATAAACAATGTAAATTTACAAAAATTTCCGGGGGTGAACCCCCGTACCCCCTTTTTGGTTTCACTTGCTTGCAGTGATGCAAATTAAAAAAGTTCAACCCCTTGACATTTGTTGGCTACACTCCTGTACATGTATGTTTACCTTTGGCATTATGCAATGTAAAATTAGAAAAATGCATCAGGAATTAATTGGTGAATAAGGCTTAAGAAGTCAAGTTAAGTCACAAGGAGGATTGGCTCTTAGAGTACAACATCGGTATTCTATTCCATATTCAAATTTTGCTCACTTCAACTTTTGAATCATGAATTTTGGTCTTATTTCCTCACGAAAAATCCCAAAACTCAAAAGAAATGATTGAGATATTGGTTCGGATCTTCTGGACAGTTTATTGTGATTAATCGTTTATAATTTCAGAAATTAACAAACTTTTCTTTGTTTGAAAATAGCGAGTTTTGATCCTGGGAGCCAATTCTCCTTGGTGAAGTCATGAGAATTGGTACAAAAAGAGAAACCCAAAAAGTTTCATAATAAGTCTTGTCTTTCAAATAACAGTTGTTTGAGACTTTTTAGTAGGCCGTGCAAACAAAACTGGATCTGGAAATTTGCTTTATTGTCTGGAAATGTCAGGGAAATGTCAGGGAATTTTATTTTGAAAAAGGTGTACGAACCCTGTATGAAGAATCCACTTGTTTTGTTAAAATGACAAGGGTTGTAGAATATTATTTTTATTTAAAGGGGTGAAATCATTAACAGGATCAGGAATTCAGAAACATAGGAATCAAAAATCAGATTAAGCGAGTTCAAAAATTTATAGAGGAAAAATATAAAACTATTTTTCCTGCATTACATGAAGTTTGAGTGGATTTAATGTGTGTTGTTTCTTTTTTCTATTGTATTTAATATATTGTTTGTTTATCCTCAATTATTTTGCACCATTATAGCTATGATCTGCTTGTTCTCCGTGAAATCATCCAAAAGATGGCAGGAATAGAAATCTCAGAAGAAATCACAGATGATCAACTCCATGCAATGGCAGGAGGTGAAATGTTGAGACAAGAGGTAAATTGGAATTTTGATCAACTCCATGCAATGGCGGGAAGTGAAATGTTGAGACAAGAGGTAAATTGGAATTTTGATCAACTCCATGCAATGGCAGGAGGTGAAATGTTGAGACAAGAGGTAAATTGGAATTTTGATCAACTCCATGCAATGGCAGGAGGTGAAATGTTGAGACAAGAGGTAAATTGGAATTTTGATCAACTCCATGCTATGGCAGGAGGTGAAATGTTGAGACAAGAGGTAAATTGGAATTTTGATCAACTCCATGCAATGGCAGGAGCTGAAATGTTGAGACAAGAGGTAAATTGGAATTTAGATCAATTCCATGCAATGGCAGGAGGTGAAATGTTGAGACAAGAGGTAAATTGGAATTTTTATCAACTCCATGCAATGTTGAGACAAGAGGTAAATTGGAATTTTTATCAACTCCATGCAATGGCAGGAGGTGAAATGTTGAGACAAGAGGTAAATTTGAATATTGATCAACTCCATACAATGGCAGGAGGTGAAATGTTAAGACAAGAGGTAAATTGGAATTTTGATCAAGTTTGAGATCAGAGGTAAATTGGAATTTAGATCAACTCCATGCAATGGCAGGAGGTGAAATGATGAGACAAAAGGTAAATTTGAATCAACTCAAAAATGGCCACCATTCTTCATAGAAAGTAACTAAATCTTGTGTTGATTGCATTTTAGGGTGGTAACTTTGCTCAAGTTAGGAACACTAAGAAGTCCAGTGTGAAGCTGAAGGAAAGTCTGCTAGAACATGACTTAGCACTGCCCTTGTGTATACTCATGGCACAACAGAGAGATGGGATCATCTTCACTGATCAAGATGATGAAACCCATCTGAAGCTAGTTGGGAAACTATATGATCAAGTGAGTAACAGTTTATGTACATGGGTATTAACATGTAACCAGACCTCAGCGTACTATATGGGCATTCTCATGTCACCACCAGAAGTGATGACGGGCATTCTTATGTCACCACCAGAAGAGATGACGGGCATTCTCATGTCACCACCAGAAGTGATGATGGCCATTCTCATGTCACTACCATAAGTGATGACGGGTATTCTCATGTCACCACCAGAAGTGATGACGGGCATTCTCATGTCACCACCAGAAGTGATGATGGGCATTCTCATGTCACCACCAGAAGTGATGATGGGCATTCTCATGTCACTACCAGAAGTGATGACAGGCATTCTCATGTCACCACCAGAAGTGATGACGGGCATTCTCATGTCACCACCAGAAGTGATGACGTATGAATAGCAGATAAATGAGCAAGTTTCAGGAAGTGTCCCATCTATAGTTGGCCACCCTGTAGTATTGAAAGGTTATATCGTCGCAATCAATGTTCAGTTCCTCCATCCATCATAGATTCATTAATTGATCAATTGTTATATTCCAAGTTTTAAGCATGAATAAAGTTTTCCCATAATGAAAAGGTCAAATGTTACTAGGGGTCACACGGTTAACCGTGGCTTGCGGTTACCGCGGTTCATACCTCCACGACGGTTAGCTCGCACACAATCTTGAAAACCGCGGTTCTTGAAAAACCGTGACATTTTCAGTTTCACTTCAGAAAAATAAAAATGTAAACTCGGAATTAAACTCCATTTCAAGCTTTCGTGTAATACCAATTAACTAAACATCGTCTGGAATCGTTAATCATCATGCAATAATGCGAAACATACCTGATATTTACGACGATCTTCTGATATAGACGGCAGATAACAAAAACAAAAGGAAAATGTTGATAAATTTCACCGGCATATTGACCCGGAAGTGACCTACGCTAAACATTTCGCGCAATCCTATTGATTGATAGAACAGTATACTGTAAAAAGCCGAACGCCGAATGCATTGAATTTGCGAACGAGTCACGTTCTGTGTATTACGTTCGCCTTTGATCCATGTTGAGTCCTGACAAAGTGTTGAACTTAAGTTATATTTCTAAAGAAAACATTTATTCAGTTTAGTGAAGTACTGTGCTAATTTTGCCAACAGTTGACAAGTTATTTTATGTGTTGAAAAAACTTGAACATCAAACAAGAAGATCAACACAGTGAACACACAGATATTTTTGGAGGGAGGGAGGGAAAAAAGACTGAACAAACAAACAAACATTGTGTGAAACTGGATACTTACAATACTGAATACAATAAAACACTGTGACACACTTAGTATGATTTCTGATTTTCGGATCAATTTCATATATTTTTGCTCATTTCACGAGGCCCGTGAGAACTGCAATCAGAACCGAACCGAACTGTGAAATACAATCACCGAACCGAACTGTGAAATCTCAAACCGTGTGACCCCTAAATGTTACTGTCAGTAAACTAAATATTATTTTCTGATATGTATGTATAACTTTATTGCCCTTTATGAAAAAGGAGATACATGTGAAAATACATTCTTTATTTCATCATTAGTGCCAGGATACTCTAGTCCAGTTAGGAAGTTTCCTTTCTACCCACATCAGTACGGATGAGTTTGCTCAGCGCCTCCCTAAGATAGAGACTCTCTGCGACATGTACCACATGCCAGCTGATGCAGCCTTCAGTATACTCCGACCTGGCTATGCTCACAGTATACAGGTATGTATGCTGTAATGTTTGTTTTCATATCATTTTCCAGTCAAACCTGCCTAAGTGAACACCTGTGTCTAGTGAACACCCCATATCAGCACATACTTCATCGACTTCTGTATAAATAACCCTCTCTGTAGTAAATACATACCTTCTGTGTTGTGAACACATTTCTGTGGTTCCATAGGTGTCCACAGTATACAGGTTTACTGCATTTCTATTTGAGATTACTTTGATGGTTTTGGACATTTTTAATGAATCCAAAACTAAAAAGAATAATGAATCAATAATGAAAAGGAAGCATGAAAAACAATTATCTTATTGTATATGATTGTACAGTCATTTATTGTATGCTGACTTTTGAACTCGAGCTACTGTCATTGTTTAAGGTTTCATACATGAAACTCGTGCTTGAAATCATCCACAAATCATTGATGCCTGTACTTACCAATGTGGGGCTTTCACTAGAATTTCTCACAACAGACTAATAAATGAAATCAACAGGCAAAATTAATGGAAATCATAAATTTAACATGGAAAAGTTGAAAATCCCTTAAAAACAACAGGCGATTTTGTGAAAACAACTGGTGAAAAACACCTGTTGCCTGCTGCTAGTGAAACCCCTGCAATGCATATATTTTAGTATTCAAAAACTTGATAATTTAATATATTTTTGCATTTTTAGACAAAGTTTGATGAACTCAGGAAGATCGACAAAAGCAATAAACTCACATCAACAGCACAAAAGGTAAACTTATTTTATTTATTTTTATTTTTTTATTTTGAATGCAAATACAGTACTAGTTGATAGTAATTTCAACATCAAATATCAACAATACCCATCACATTTTGCTTCATACTCTATATTATAAAAAGATTTTTTTTCGCCATATCTGCTCTTCCCAATAATCTGCTAAACTATTAAACTGGCTTCATTTTATCTTCCATTAGTTAGGATATGGGCATAAGTCTAATAGGTCTTTAGGTGATACTTTTTGAAATGACTGGACAGAGTATTTTTATGAACTACAAAATGCACTCAGCTGGTATTTTCTGTCTAACACAAGCACCAATATAATTTTCCTATTCATTGTATGCTGAAAAACTAAGCTGGACAAGAGCAAAAACAAATTACAATAAAACCTGTGTAAGTGGAACACATTTGGTACTTCTAAAATGTGTTCCACTTGGGAGGTGTTCAACTTACAGAGGTTCATTTAACATAAAGCAAATTGGTCTTGGGACTCTGAAAAGTGTTCCACTAACAGAGTTGTTCCACTTATAGAGTTGCTTCACATTAATGGTTTCACTGTAGTTTGGACCACTGGACAAATTCTTTTTTCTTTCCCTTTTCTGAAAATGATCTTCTCTGACTCAATTACATGTTGTTGTGTTTTATTTAGACTAAGAGATACCTAGAAGCTGTCGAAGAAGTAATAGAGCCTTTACAAAAGCAAGTCATCCCTCTGCACGGTCCAAAGATATGGGATGAACTCAGGTAGGTTTCTATGCCCTCTTATTAATGTAAACCCCTTGTTGTCTTTTATATTGAAGATAATTGATTTTTGATTCTGTGGAATTGTCCACTTGTCAACCTGTCCATCTGTTTGTCAGTTCTTACTGTGAACAATTTTTAAACAAATGAGAAACTTTCTTGGGATAAATCTAAACAGTGTGATCCAGGAATATTATATTATATTATTATTTTTGTTTGTATAATGCCCAATTCCTATATAATGCCCTCTCCATTCCTATATAATGCCCTCTGGCGATTTAGGGATGCTATTGTAATTGTATTTTAAACTATATCAATGAAATAAATAATAATAATAACTAGAAAAAAAAATAAAAAAATTGTTTGTGGGTACTCACCTCCTTCATCAATTAAAAAGTTTTTTTTCAAAATAGTCTTAAAACTGTGGCCCATTTTTTATGTGGTCCCTTAAGAAAGGGCCGGTAAATAACTTCTCGAGTCTATATATACATTAAACCAGAGTGATGGACATTATTTTCATATTAATTAAAATACTCACATGATGAACTTTTATGAACAAATTGTGTAGCTCTGAAATGTACATCCATGTATTCTTTATTTGTAGCCCTCAGTTCTATGTTACATTTTGGACTCTGTCTATGTATGACCTTCAGTCTCCTAGTGAGGTCTATGAGAAACAGATCCAAGCATTGAAGACACAACAGACTGCCATTGAGGACAATCATAGCCTTGTGAGTACTTTTTCACCCTTGATTTAATCAGTTAAAAACTATGTGACAATTAGTACAGTAAAACCTGTCGAATCCTAACACTGCTGGGATTGGCCGAAAGTGTTTATATTGGCAAGTTTTTACATTTCGAGTTTTTTTTACATGAATGGCGTCAAATGAAAAAAAAAGCATTTACATATACATTGAGAGGTGTTTTTTCATGAGATGTGTTCAGAAATACAGGTTTTACTGTATAAACAAATATCTCTTCTCTCATTTTCTCTGGTCTGATTCGGTATTTATCTCAGAGAAATGTTACCACAAGTTATTCTCATTGGCTTAGCCTGGTCACATGATGTATTTTGTGTGTTTAGAGCTCCAGTAAGAAGAAAGAGAGAGACAAATGTATTGCGCAATATACATTTTTTTGACAACCAAGGTCATGTGACCATATTTAGTGAATCTCATTGGTTTAGCCTAGTCACATGATGTCTTATTTTGTGTTTAGAGCTCCAGTGAGCAGAAGGGAGAGAGAGAGGGAGACAGATGTATTGCGCAATATACATTTTTTGACAACCAAGGTTATGTGACCATATTTAGTGAATCTCATTGGTTTAGCCTAGTCACATGATGTCTTATTTTGTGTTTAGAGCTCCAGTAAGCAGAAGAGAGAGACTGATGTATTTTGCAATATACATTTTTTGACAACCAAGGTCATGTGACCATATTTAGTGAATCTCATTGGTTTAGCCTAGTCACATGATGTCTTATTTTGTTTTTAGAGCTCCAGTAAGCAGAAAAAGGAGAGAGACAGATGTATTGCACTCAGGGAGAAGCTTGAAGATGAGGAAAAGAAGCAGGTTGAGCACATTAATAGAGCCATGGCCAGACTGGATGAGGAGAAAGACACTTGGTTTGCACTCAGTAAGTGGTGTCATATTGATATTGTCTCCATTTTTTGTGGAAGCGATTGGCAGTTGCCGTTTGCAAAAGATGGTGGTGACATTTTGCATATTAATGATGTGTATAAATATTTATTGAGCTCCTGTGTACAGTGCATATGCACAAAAACAAATAAACTGTTAAACGTTAAATCGTTAATTTAACCGCAAAACCAGTGATGACTGCATCTGTTTCATTCAATGAACCATGAAGTCATGATATTACAAAAGTCAGAATACAGGCCTTGGGCTAATTAATAAGATTTTATCTGTCTACTTGCAGAGACATCTACTAAGAATGAGATGGTGACACAGCTGTTGCAGCTGTGTATTTTCCCCAGATGTGTGTTCACAGCTATAGATGCCCACTACTGCGCCAAGTTCATACACGTCCTACATACTCTCAAAACAAATAATTTCTCTACACTGCTTTGTTATGATAGGGTAAGATTATTTTATTTTATTAAATGATGAGACAGCCATGACACCCCAATAAAAAATAAAAAAGCAATTATGTAATGTTGAAAAAACATTAACAAATTAAAGTGTGAAATCCTTAGAATGCACCATATACGATGTAAATTTTTAAAAACTTCCCCCGTATTCCCCTTTTTGGGGCTTGCTCCACACGCAGTAGTGCAAACCCAAAGTTTGCATTTAATATAATAATAACTGCTCATTAATTTCAGATCTTCTGTGACATCACATACACTGTTTCTGTGTGTACTGAAAATGAGGCTCATCGCTATGGGAGATTCCTGAATGCCTGCTTGGACTCCATTATGAGATGGCACAGTTCAAAGGAGCACTATGATAAGGTATGTACCAATTTTCGGCAATCGGCAGGTGGCGGTAGGTGGTTGGCGGTTGGCGTCTGTAATAAATTCTTAATACTTCCAATAACTTAACAAATACTGTTAAGACTGACTTCAGTTTTTTTCAAAACCATCTACAAGTTTCTGAAGTTCAACTCTGACTTTGGATTTGAGATTTCACCTTCATTGACCTCAGGGTCAAAAAAATGTCTTTCAACTTGCTTTAAATTGACCAATTTTCTTCAAAATCATCTACCCTACAAGTTTTCAGAAATTCAAATCTGACTTAAGATTGAACTAATAATAGGTGGTGACATTTTGTCATGTTAATGCCTTGTCTTTTATTGCATTAAGGATTGCACCAATTTCCCCATAATCAAGATATGGTATGCACCAATTTTCTAGTTTATATCACTTACTTCCCTCTTAATTATATGCCATTACCTTAATAAATTGACTAGTCGAAAGGTCTAACACCCCTATTGAATGAACGGATTAGTGAATGAACTCGTCCAATACACTGCCTATCCATGCTTCATGCTACGACCTACTTCATATTACCTTTCGACGACCATCTCGCTACAAGCCTTCAACAGAACTTGGAGCAACTATATTCGTCAAGATGATGAACAACGAGGACGTTTACATGAACACCTCAGAGAAATGTCCTGCTATCATTCTCCAGCAAGAAGAAGGAGAATGCACTGATGGAGACACAGAGCAAGCAGGGATTCAAGAGAGTGCAGACCAGAACTTCAACATGAGTCTGACTGACAACTTTCTCAAGGAGAAGATTTCTGTTCTGATGAACGAAATGCTTCAAAACAAGCAACAAGAAAGCCCAAGGAACAGTGTAAACACCAGGCACAGCAGTCCTCGGAGGCTTCAACAGGAGGCAAGGTCGGACAGACCAAGCCCAGCGGCAAGGAATGAATTTGTCAGAAGTCCCCGCAAAAGTTACAGGAGTCCCCGCAGGAGCCCTAGCCCTTGGAGATATCAGGACCCCAGAAGCCATGCAAGTCCCAAGAGACGTGCAAGTCCTTTGAGACGTGGCAGCCCCAGGAGACGTGGGAGACATTCGAGCAGTCGGGACAGAGTTTGGAGCCCTAGGAGACCAGAACCCAGACGTTATACGCCGGAGAGAAGAGGTCATCATGACCGTCATGGTGAACACAGTCCACGCAGGCATAGTAGGTCTTACAGTCGTGAAACTAGTGTCTCTTCTAGTTACACGCCTAGACCACGTGACCCGTCACTTCGTAGCAGCAGAGACAAGCACAGAAGTCCCCATAGGAGACCAAAGTCCCGCTCTAGAAGCAGAAGTCCAGTTCGAACGAGGTCACCTAACCCGGAAGCGATTGCTCCAGTTTCACTTTCGAAAGAAAGTTCAACCAATCACAGTCTCGAATGTCACGAGGGGCCCGAGGATATGGACTCGCCCAGTGAAAATTTTCAAGATGGCGGTTCCAGGATTTCGGAAGAAGAGAAAGTTTTGGCTTCGTACAACGCGGCGGCGATATCACAAGTCAAGAACCTGTTACCAGACGCTAACCTGACGCACCAAGTTCCAGACAGAGCGGTGGTTATCAAGCCCTTGGCATCGCAGTTCTTCAAAAACGAGTCTGAAGGTAATGAAAAATCTTTCTTACCATTATCACCCACGGTGATGACTTGTTTTTCTAACAGATCCTCGATCATCGCGAACGATTTCGCCTTCAAAAAAGTAGGACAACTTTCCCGAAACGACAAGGCATCACGCTTTCCAATTCCTCCAGCCGGAGGACTTGTTGTTTCGAGTATGAGGCCAAATTCCAGCCTGTCAGCGGTGATGTCTGAAGAAAATTTCAAGAAAGCTGACAAGGATTTGACTATCAGCAAGACCCAGTATAGGCTTCTAGAGGAAGGCTTAAGATTCCAACTGAAACCCCTGGCATATGCAGAATGGCTGTTAGGTGCAGTGGCCAAAATTCTCAACGATTCTTCATCCACTGATACTAAGATGTTGTCTGATCTACTACAACCTGCAGCACAAGCCATTGGCTGTCTGACTGATCAAAATGTGAGACTGCTGTCCAACATAGTTCTACTTAGGAGAGATGGCTTCTTGAAGAACATGACTTGCCCTTCTGCAGCAAAGGAAATGCTCAGAACTCTACCCATAAACCCTTTGGCTCAGGAATTATTCCCACAGGAGTCAGTCACTGAAATTTTGAAGTCCAACCAGTCTGATCTCACCAACCAGGCTTTAACTTCCTTGGCTAAGATGAATGCGAGAGCTGAATCAAAGAAGTCTTCTCAACCAGATAAGAAAGACAACAACAACAACAGAAAGTCCAGTTTCAATAACAACAATGGCCCTGGTAAAAAGAACAGCTCTAACTCTTTTCGTGGCAAGGGAAGAGGAGAGAAAAAATCACAGTGACTATCTACCTATATCACCCAGTCCTCGAAGTCTTTGTCTCCCACAGCTACCTGTAAGCCCTCAACAGCTACCAGTGGGAGGCAGACTACAGCATTTTCTTGCCAAATGGAAAGAAATCACAGATCTAGGAGGATTTCTACAGATCATAAAGGAAGGTTACCAGCCGAAACTTCACATAAAACCTACCCTTACATGCAATCCTTGGCCTTTCCAGTCATCAACAAGAGACAGAAAAGACCTTTATGCAGCTACAGTCACTCAACTTCTGGAGAAACAGGCCATAGAAGTTGTCCAGAACGTATCCAGTCCAGGCCTTTACAGTCATCTTTTCCTCATAAACTTCAGGAAGTCGGAACTACAACCAACTCAGAAGTTCACTTATGTGGGAGTAGAATACGATCTCAGCAAGGGATTTTGCCGTCCCCCTCACGATCGAGTAGAAAAGATATGGAAACCTGGACAACATCTTCTAGAGAAGGGAATAGCCTCAGCAGAAACTTGGCAGTCTCTACTAGGCCTGTTGTCATCTGCGGAGAAACAAGTGCCATTGGGACGTCTTCATCTACGCCCTCTACAGTGTTGTCTGTTCCAACAGTGGTCTCCTCTATCTCAGCCCCAGTCACATCTAGTTGTCCTCTCACCAGATGCTCAGGGGGCATTTCTATGGTGGCTAGATCCCAGGAATTTACAGCCTCTCAACAGATTTCACCCAACAATGACAATCTACACAGATGCATCGTTAGAAGCATGGGGGGCCCACACACAATCGCAGGAATGCTCTGGAGTCTGGTCCCAGTTGGAATCAAGTCATCACATCAACTTTCTGGAGTTACTAACAGTCAAGAAAGCTCTGATGTTCTTCAAGGAAAAGATAACTGGACAGAATATTCTGATTTGCACAGACAGCACGACTGTAGCAGCATATATCAACAACCAGAGCGGAACACATTCCCCTCAACTACTCCAGTTAACTCAGGAGATTCTCTTATGGTGTCACAATCAGCAAATTGTACTCAGAGCGAATCATATTCCAGGATCACTGAACAGAAGGGCAGATCAGTTATCCCGGAAAAACCAGATTGTCAACACAGAGTGGTCTCTTCATGCAGACATAACCAAGAATCTATGGAAAATATGGCCAACTCCCAATATGGACATGATGGCCACATCTCACAATCACAAACTACCAGTTTACGTGGCTCCAGTTCCAGATCTTCAGTCGTGGAAAACAGACGCCATGTCACTGAATTGGGACAACATGTACTTCTACATATTTCCCCCAACAGCAATGATAGCAGCAGTCCTGAACAAACTGCAGGCTCACCAAAACACAAAATGTGTAATGATAGTACCAAAATGGCCCAATCAACCATGGTACCCAGACCTTCTCAGTCTGCTAGTAGATTTTCCTGTACTGATTCCAATATGGAAGAAACTCCTTCTTATGCCAAGGACCTCGATTTTTCATCAAGATCCAGAAAAGATGTCTCTACACGCTTGACTGTTATCAACAATAACTTGCGAGAGGGGGGGTTTTCTGAAGAAGTGTCCAAAGCAGTACAAAAGTCTAGGAGAAAATCTACCAATGCCATCTACGATTCAAAGTGGAAATTATTCTCTGTTTGGTGTTTGGAAAGAGATACCAATCCCATCGAGGCATCTATTCCAATGATTGCAGATTTCTTCATTTATCTCAGAAACACTAAAAAGAGGTCTTTTTCTACTATCGAGGGCTACAGAACAGCTATAAACAATGTCAGGAAATCTACACAATCTAAAGATCTCTCAGAATCACAAGTGATACATGATATGTTGAGATCCTTTAAATTAGAAGATGCAATTCCAAAGTCTACCTTACCCAAATGGGACTTGGTTTTTGTACTTCATGAACTATTAAAGCCTCCATTTGAACCTATGAATTCTGCAGATATCAAATGGGTGACTTTAAAGACTGTATTTCTTCTACTGTTAGCCTCGGGCAAGAGACGTAGTGAGATACATGCCTTAGATGTTACAAGGATACAATGGAAAAACAACAATACAGAAGTTTTCCTCTATCCATTCATTGGTTTTCTGCCAAAGAGCTTGGAAGCAGCAGAGGGACAAGCCAGATTTCAACCTATACATCTGAAATCATTGGCAAGCCATGTGGGAAATGATCCAGATCGATGCTTATGCCCACTTAGAGCACTCAGATTTTATCTTGCTGCTACCAGAGTCTTCAGAGGTACCAGGAATAGGATCTTCATACCTTGGAAGAAAGGGTGTAATAGCAATTTACACTTAAATACTTTATCCAGCTGGATGAAACATCTGATTCTTCTAACCTACAAGAATTCCACAGCTGAGAGTAGAAGAATTGGGAAAGTTAACGCACATGAAATAAGAGCGTTATCAGCCTCATATGCAGTACAGTCGAATGTTAGCCTAACAGAAATATTGAAAAGTTGCTCTTGGGCTCACAACAACACTTTTATCGACTTTTATCTGCGTGATGTCACAGTCCTACAAGATGAAGCTAGAAAGCTAGGACCTGTGATGCTGGCTGGAACTGTGTGCGACCTGTAGCAGGTGCAGTAAGTACACAACAACTTTTTTCACCCCACCTATCCAATATGTTACATGCTATGACATATAATTAAGAGGGAAGTAAGTGATATAAACTGAAAATTTTTTTTATTAAATCAACCGTTTATGGAACTTACTTACCTCTTAATTACCAGAGACCCACCCACCTTCCCCGCTTGAGGGAAATTTTTTATATTATTTTTTTGTATCTTCGAGGTCTCTCGGTAATATGAAGTAGGTCGTAGCATGAAGCATGGATAGGCAGTGTATTGGACAAGTTCATTCACTAATCCGTTCATTCAATAGGGGTGTTAGACCTTTCGACTAGTCAATTTATTAAGGTAATGGCATATAATTAAGAGGTAAGTAAGTTCCATAAACGGTTGATTTAATAAAAAAAATCTTCAATTAACAAGATAAGGTTTGCATGTGTTTTCATTATAATCAATACTGGACAATAAATGTAAAACATGTGTATACAAATCCTGCAATGTTTAATTAGGCCATAAGAAGTAGATTCTTTGTTTTGCGTCCTGCCAAAATCCAAATCATGCAAGGGTACAAAGAAAACAAACACAAACTCTAGAAAAAACACAAACTTGTTTGCTGAGAAATGTATACATTTTATGGGCATAAAAAGGGATGACATACCAATTTGCAGTGATAACAAATACAAATCTATACATTTTATACCATATATTTAAACATGGCTATTATTCAAGGGTAAAAAAATATGAAAATACACAATATATGCCAAAGTAATCAATAACACCATCAATTTTGACGCATGTCAAATTATCCGTCATTTCAACTAATTCTGATTGAAGGAAAAGCGATGGTACTTTCAGACCCTTGTGATTGGAATTTGGATGTGTTTGTTTTTTCTGATTTACTCAAAATCGTGCAAGCAAGGGGACGCAAAACAAAGAATCAACTTCTTATGGCCTTATTTTGCATGCTTCATGATGAATTCTTTGAATCTTGATGGCAAAAGTAAAATCATTAGATTGTGATGTTTTACATGTGATTAATTTGACAAGAAGGTGTTTATGTTTTACCTTAATTCTTAACTGAATCATAGAATGATTATGTTTTACTTTAATTCTAACTCAATCATAATTTTGACTCCACGTGAACTGCTGACCTGAGAGTGTTACAAACTGCTCATTGTAAGCCTTAAAAAGGTTTTTCAACCTTTCAGTTGTGTTATTCGATACCTTGGGATGTGGTCTTCCTTTTGACCTCCCTGAGCAGCGAACCTTATCCCGATCGTCAAATTTAATACAGTGAAACTGAGGCTTTTCCGGGTTAGGAGAGTATCTACTTCTTGTAAAAAATGAATCGATTCCGATGAATTTTTCGACTTTATGCATTTCCTCCCAAGGTTTTTTGACAAAGTTTCCAGAGTCTAATAAGAGTATGTTTTCCCGCGGGAACATCTGAATCCATTTCGCAAAGTGTAACACGTAAATACTGTCAGTGATAAAATGTTTATCGCATCTAATACTGCCATTGGGGAAGAACACTGTCTCTTCTAATGTGAAATTATGTTTAAAACCCTTATTCAATATATTTTGTACATAGGCTGATATGAGACGTTCTATGGGATCTCTGACCATAATTATGAGTTTGACATTACCGTCTGGGTATGCGGCTAGAATTCTCTCCCTCGCAACCTGACTCGTATAACATATTGTACAGCGCTCAAAGTATACTTTATTCGTGTCATTCAGGCCACTTTTCAAATCTTCTAATGTTAACGTAGAATATAAATAATCTTTAGCGTAATAACCACTCGGATGATTGGATGTATAGATCTGTGGATGGTTGGTTAGCCAGTTCGTAAAGGTACCAGTGCCACCCTTGAACATTCCTGCAAGAATGACATCTGCAAATTTTGAAGTGTTTTTGTTGTTTATGTTTTTTTTAGCAATAGTTTCTTCTTCACTTTGTTGGTTTAGATACGGCTCTTGGTGACCTTTATTCTTTTTGGACAATTCAAAAAAGTCGACGTAGTAATTGTAAATTTCATCAGCAGACATTTTAGCGAACATTTCTGTGTCATATTCTCTAAAAGAATCAATAAGGGTAATATCTATAGAGTCGTCATCCTTGTCACTTTCATATTCTTCTTCACTTTCTCCATTGAGTTCATCTTTTTCTTCACCATCAGCTTCAGTATCAGTAATTTCATTGTTTTTGTCATTTTTGGACTCCTCGTCACTTTCTCCCTTAAGTTCATTTGTATCTTCACCATCAGTCTTAGCATTAGTATTTTCATTAGGAATATCGTGACCTATTTTCTTATGGTCTGAAAACATCTTCATTTGATGATAATCGTTATGTCCGTCCAGTTTAGAAAATCCATCATTTAAATTGCAGTTCGTACATTTCACATAAAGATGGATTGCACCGAGCACTACGATCACCAAGGCAACCACCAGTAAATTTTTCTGAACAGAATTGTTTCTTAAGTTTATGTAGTACATCATATCGAGTTTCGAAGCTATTAAAAATTGAGAGTAATAAAATGCAGGTGCTGTAGTTTGTTTGGTAAAGACCATAAAATTAATCATACCATACATTTTCAATTAAGAGCTATCAATATTCTATGCAAATTGACAATGTAAGAGTAAAGGTTTGCAGTGTCAAACAATACTCTTTATCAAAATTGAAATCAATAGCTATTTATTAAAGGGACGAAACGTTAATAATGCCAAAGGGTAAAGATCAACAATTGAACCATGCATCAGCAGTATAATTCAATATTTGTTCTGTAAAGCGCATAACCTCTGACTTTGAGCCAAGGTAATATTCTGACCGTACTAAAACAGCTTGTACATGTTTACACTCAAATGAGTCAGATGGAGAAAAATTACATGGGAATTTAGTAATCTTGCCTCAAACTCAAAATCATCGAGCACTCTCAAACTAGCTATTCTTGGAATTATTCCCTATGTCCATTATCTTTTGTTTTCTCTTATCAGTGAAGTGTGTATAATAGTTATCTCATTTATACAAGCAGTGGATAAAGTGAAGCTTCTGAAGTCCAGTCCATCATTCATCATTATATAACTTCTGTATTTTAAAACAATCGACCCAGCTTTTTTGTTGTTTGATCAAATATTGACCGCTCATTAGTTGGCTTGAATACTACTTTATACTTAATTGTTCCATGTTTTCAACAAGATGAAAATTGACTTCTCTCTGCCTTCATATACATGTACATGTACGTATTGTTCATTGACCTTTCAGATGACCTTGACCAATATATGTGACCTTGACCTGACCCAAACTGAGGTTTCCCACAAGTTGCTTTAATTTATTTTTATCTTTGATTGTATGTTTTATTCTTTGGAGGGAGTTGCCATGCCAACTTGCCATGGTTTTTAACAATATTTTATTTAACCAAGAACAGCAACAGCCAACCAGCTCCAGCTTGGCACATTGTACTGTTTAGTATTGATGATTATAAGAGATGTTATGTATTTAGGAGTGTGCCAACTTCCCCGGATTCATCACAGTGTTCCGTACAGCCAAGAAGAACAGCAACCAGCCTGACACACTGGATTATGAAAACTACAGACATGTTGTGCACAAGTGGCAGTACACTATGACCAAGGTATTTATAGAATCAAGTTAAGGTTCGACTCTTGGTGGTTTTTCCAATGATGTCTCTGTACAAATCAACATTTAAATCATCCAAGCCAGATTACTATACTGAATGTACTTCACCTACATGTACCTTAACACAGTACACATAGATATAATTTTACCCATAAATGATGTCAAATATTTGTATATTTATCAATAAATGAATTGAAATTCAGAATTTCATTGAAAAATTAAAGAAAATATATTAAAATTGAATATAAGATCAACAACACAAATATCTTCACAGACTAGAGCAGAAGTCATTCTGGCCTTACCGTTACATCTACATTACTTGCGTTTCAATGACCTTATGAACTGAATGTTATTTGTTTCTTGGAGCTGATGTAATAGTTTGTTATTTGATTCCAGGCTATGGTGTGTTGCCTTGAGTCTCAGAACTATGTCCAGATCAGGAACGCTCTCATAGTACTTACCAGAGTGAGTACCAGTACTACTCTTGTGTGTAGTCTCATATTGAGACTAATTGTAATAGACCATTGGATATTAATACTTCAATAAAAGATATTACCATATAGCATAAAAAAGAAGTTGCACTATATTTTAAATAAAACTTGTACATCCGTTAAATATATAAGAACAAGTGCCAAAGGGAAAGGATGAAAAGTTGTAATGGAACTTAGCAAGAAAAAGCAAACTCTAAGTGTGAACCAGTCAAGGAAAACAAACCCCTTATAGCCCAAAACCATGATCTAACCTGAAAAGAAACAATGTCTAATACCCCCTTTCCCCCCACCATTCAAGAACCAAACAAACCAACCAAACAAAGCCATTTTCAAACAATTTAAAAAAGATTTTGGTCTTTTCTGAAATGAACCATATTAAGTAATCTTTCACATATCCTCAAACTAGAAATGGGACCATCAAGGGAGGGGTACAGGGACCATCAAGGGAGGGGTACAGGGACCATCAAGGGTGGGGTACAGGGACCATCAAGGGAGGGGTACAGGGACCATCAAGAATAGTCAATAAAGGAAGATGGATAAATGTGATATTGATGTCCAATTGTATTGTACATATACTGTATTATATTAAATTGTAAAATGATTTTGATATACTTTTTTACTGTTTTTAACACTAATTAACATTATACATATTAAATTGTGATATATTGTGTTGCATATATAATGTGTGTATATTTCAGATCTTGAATCACTACCCCAAGGTGCAGCAATTTGGCCAGGCTTTAGAGAGAAGGGTGGACCGTATCAAGACAGAGGAGAAGGAAAAGAGACCAGATATATATGCACTTGCAATGGGGTATGATACAGAGATACAGTAAAACCTATCTAAGTGGAACACATTTGGTACCTCCAAAAGAATTAACCTAGAGTTTGGTATATCTGTATACATCTGTATTATATGTAAATTTGGAGCTTCTCAATTTTATTTTTGATTAAATGTTGAGTACAGTTAAACTTGTCCAAGAAGAACTCCTTTGGTACCTCTAAAATGTGTTCCACTTGGGAGGTGTTCCACTTCTAGAGATTAATTTAATATTAAGTATGTTGCGACGTTGGTCTTGGGACTCTGAAAGTGTTCCACTTTGGAGGAGTTCCACTTCTAGAGGTTCATTTAATATTAAGAATGTTGATCTTGAGACTCTGAAAAGTGTTCCACTTGGGAGGTGTTCCACTTCTAGAGATTAGTTTAATATAAAGTTTGTTGGTCTTGGTACTTTGAAAAGTGTTCCACTTGGGAGGTGTTCCACTTCTAGAGGTTCATTTAACATAAAGTCATTTGGTTTTAGGACTCTTGAAAGCATTTCACTTCAAGAGGTGTTTCACATTACAGTTTTCAATGCATGTACTTGAGACAATAGTTGACATGATTTTAATTATATTTGAATGTTAGGTTGATTTGAATGTTCATAGTTGACGTAGCTGAAATTAATGGCATCATTGTCATCAGTTGTAATTTGTCATCATTACATATTTGAAGAATGCTAGTGCAACATGTAATCCATCCCTAATATGGTGATGCTGAAACATATACAAATAACATAGCCATTATATGTCTCTGGGTGATGTAGCAGACTAATGGCAGGCCCGTAGCCAGAATTTTCCAAGGGGGGGTTCACTTTTCCCAAAAAATTCTAAGGGGGGTTCACTTTGGCAAATTTGGCCAAAAATCACTCAAAAAATAGTCAAAATGGTGAACAACTGCATGATTTTGAAAGAAATTTTGGCCAAATCCAAAATAGTCTCATTTCTGTGATACCATTCAGGCCCGTAGCCAGGGGGGGTTCGGGGGGTTCGAACCCCCCCTGGCTACGGGCCTGAATGGTATCACAGAAATGAGACTATTTTGGATTTGAACCTGTATGCAAAATTACATTTGACATGTGTTAATCAACATGTGTGCATGTTTTAATTTTTTTAGTTACACTGGTCAATTGAAGTCCAAGAAAAGCAGCTGGGTTGCTGAGAATCAGTTCCATCACAAGGAGAAGCCAGTAGGTAAACCTAATGGAACAGCCGCAAGTGGTGGAACAGCCAGCAAGTCTTCTGGGGCATCTAAAGATGCAAGCAAAGAGAGTAAAGAATCTGAAAACAATCCCACAGGTATGTCCTGATTTTGTTTAAGTAATTCTCTTACTTTGAGCATAACATTTATGTATGTATTTACTTGATAATTACTTACTTTTTTATTACTAATTATTTTAGTTTTTGGAGCATCCATGGGCTTTCAACTAGAATTATTGAAGGCCCGTGGAGCATCACAGTTTGTTTTATCCTTCTACCACCCTACATGTATATTAAAAAAAACATAAACCATAAATGCCCACTTTTGAATAAAATATTGACCATTAAATGAATGCCTTCTTTTCAAGAGGTCAAAAACCATCAATACCCTCTTTTATGGTTAGTTAAGGGCATGATAGTTAAATTGCATGGCAGCCATTTTGGTAATTAAATGTTATAGTTATTGGTGTATGTCGTTTCTGTTTAAAGGATCAAAAGATGATGATAGACCTGAGAAAGAGAAGAAAAGCAGCAGTAAGAGTGACTCTAAGACAGAAAATAGCAAAGTTAAAGCCTCTAATTCAACATCCAGTGAAAAGGTTAAAGCCTCAAGTTCAACATCCAATGAGAAAGTTAAAGCCTCAAGTTCAACATCCAATGAGAAGGTTAAAGCCTCAAGTTCAACATCTGACAGGAAAGATAATTCATCAGCCAGGTAAAATATAGAGTTTTATAGAGTTTTAATTGCAGCAATTATTCATAAATTGTAAAGATAGTTAAGAAAATACTGCAAATAAATTGCACAATTTTTTTAGTATATGTTAATGCTGTCAGCAATTTCAATCTTCCATATTGGAAACTAGTGGTTTAATAGCAGGACTCCTACACACCTGGGGATGTCAGCAAAATTGATTTATTTTTCCAGGTGCTGGAAATGTCAGGGAATTTTGAAATTGGGTCAAAAAGGGCCACAAATGTCAGGAAATCTTGAAACAGTAGAATTTCATTTTGTGAAAGGTGTAGGAACCCTGAATGGAGTTGTTGTATTGGTTAATTTCTTTGACGAAAAAAGAGAATAATTCTTGCATATACTAAGTGTTTCCAACCCAAACCAAAAATGTTTCAAATTGACCCATTCTGAGATATTATTTTCTATAGACTAAATAGAAATCAATTACATTTGTTCCTCAGGTCATCAAAAGAACGGGACTTGACAAGTGAACGTAAATCGTCATCCAAAGATCGTGAAAAGTCACGTGAGAAAGGCCAAGGTGATGACAAGCCACATAAAGAAAAGAGCAGCCACAAGGACCGTAAGGAAGAAAAGGTTGCCAGTGACGATAAGGAAAAACGACGCTCCCATAAGCACAAGGAGGAAAAGGAGGAGAGAAAGGAGAGAAGTCGAAGCAAGGAGAGAGATCGCGGTGATCATGCAGTGGCATCTAGTGGCAGTAGTCACAGACGTAGCGCCGAACCATCCCCTAAACACTCCGAACTGGAGAGAGGTATGGTATTGCATTTAGTCATTAATGTCCTCAGTTTATCCAATCATTTGATTCTGTATTAAAAGGACTTATCAAATATATGCAAAAACATATTGAAATATAGGTACCTAATTTAAATTAGATTTTTTATTTTATTTTATTTTTTATTTATTTCATTAAAACATTTGAGGGCATTCCTTATCTAAATGATGTTTTACTGTTTCAGAGAGCAAGCGAAGAAAGATGGAAGCTCCAAGTGTAAAGGTTAGTAGTAAGTCAGAGGCCAAGGTTATTCAAGAGAGGTCAAAGGTTACTCATGAAAGGTCAAAAGCCACTGAAGAGAGGTCAAGGTTCAGTCAAGAGAAGTCAATTGCAAGGGTTATTCTAGAACATACAAGGGCTGCTCAGGAAAGGGCAAAGAAGTCAAAGCTCCTTGAAGAAAAGAAAATCGCTGCTCAGGAAAGGGCAAAGATCATTCAAGAGAAGTTTAAGCTCAATGAAGAAAGGAGAAGCGCTGCTCGAGAAAGAGCAAAGGCCACTAGGGACAAGTGGAAGAACTTTGAAGTGAAATCAAAAGTTGACAAAGAAAAATCTAAGAACACAAGAGAATATATCAGTGTTATTCAAGAAAAAAAGGCCTGTAAAGATTCGAAAGACTTTTTTGATGAAGTTCCATGGCTTACTGATGAGCCCAAGCCACCTTGTAAGTTTCAGGAAGAGTTACATACTTACCTTTTGAACAGGCATGGTGATCTCTTACAGCCAAGGTCAAGGTCTGCTCAAAATGCAGAAACAAAAACTGAGGTTGTTGATGTAAAAAAGGAAGCACCCAAAGTGACCCCAAATTTCATTGATGGTGAAGATAGTGAAGAATTAGATTATGATTTAGATTCAGAATCAGAAGATTTAGTTCCGAATGTAAATATTCAGAAAGCTCAAGATGGTAAGGAATATGAAATCAGCAAGGATTCTCAAGTCAATGAAAAGTCACATGTTGATAAGGAATCACAGGACAATGAGGAATCACAGGACAATAAGGAATCACTGGACAATAAGGAATCACTAGACAATCAGAAATCACAAATCAGCAAAGAAAATAAACATGCAAACGTCACTGAGAACCTCAGTTTTATTAAGAAAGAATTTGTTGGATTGAATATTGAGGACAAGCAAGACAAAGATGAAGGAGATGAACCACCAGGAAAGAAACAGAAGCTAGACACACTTGAAACAATTCCTACCTCAAGCCACATTACACAAGTTGCAATTGATATGCCCAACAGTGTGAAATCAGATGAACAAAAAATACCAGGGCTTAGTGTAGCCAAAGGTGATTACAAAGATCCAAAAGTTGCTGTTCCTGAAGATATCATGAAGCATGCTAATGTCTTACCTGGATCAGAGCCAAGTAATGATATCTTGGAGATGATTGGCAAAATTAAACAGGAGCCAAATGTTAATGAAAAAACATATGGCAATGTATTTACTGAAGCACACAGTGAAATTAACCTTAAAGGTGATTCAAAAGATGCAAAGGAAAGACAAGTCAAATCTGATAATGATGATTTTGACAAACCAATCATAGATGAAGGTGTACTATATAAAGATGAAGAAACTACTATTGAAAATGGTAAAGTTACCATAAACAAAAAAGAGTGTAATGATGGTGTTCCTAAAGGAAACGATGAAAATGATATGCAAGAAGATGGTGCAGGGCATGGAAGTGATGAGAAGAAAAATGATATTGATGATGCTATGTCCTCAGAAAGTGAGGATGACACACTTTATAAGAATAAACGTGATTGGAAAGATGTAGGACACATCAAATTCATTGAAAATCCTGATAAAGAAGAACACAAGGAGTACTTGGATGAAAATGCAAACATGACAAAAAATACTTTAAATGGAACAGAAAATCAGATTAAGAATGTTGTGCCTTACATAAACAGCAAGGAGATGGATCCATGCAATAAATCCAGAGAAGGGGAGAACAAAGCTACAGTTAATGATAACCCTAGAAAAGTGAACACTGTTGCAAATGAGCTTTCAGAAATAGCAAGTGCACACACAGGAGTCAGCTGTGAAAAGCTTCCTGCACAGATCTTTATTATTAAGGATGAGTTACCAAGGGAGGAATGTGGGAACCAACAGGATTAGCAAAAGAGGAATGATGGGGATCATGAAGATTGGCGATCTAAGGAGGAAAAAGATATTATTTGCCAACAAGGGGGGGGGGGGGGGGTTGGCGACCATCAGGATTAGCCAACAAAGGAGGATAAGGATCAACATTATTTAAAACCAAAGGAGGTGTACAAGGACCATCAAGATTAGCCAGAAAACTAGGATAAGAATCAATGTTATTTGCCACCAAGAGATAGCGGAATATAAAAACAATGAAGATTTGCAAACATAGGAACCAAGAACCAAGCATATTTGCCAACAAGGGAGGGGTACAGGGACCATCAAGGGTGGGGTACAGGGACCATCAAGGGAGGGGTACAGGGACCATCAAGGGTGGGGTACAGGGACCATCAAGGGTGGGGTACAGGGACCATCAAGGGTGGGGTACAGGGACCATCAAGGGTTGGGTACAGGGACCATCAAGGGTGGGGTACAGGGACCATCTAGAGAGGGGTACATGGACCTTCAAGGGAGGGGTACAGGGACCATCAAGAATAGTCAATAAAGGAAGATCAACATAATCTACCACCAAGAAAGAGCTTTGAAAAGCATAAAAACCAGCAATAGCTTATAAGATTCATTTTTGATACTGTAAAACTATTTTTTATACATGTATAGTCATTCTAAAAGAGTGCCATCATATTTAATTGATCTCAGATACAAGATTTATTTCAACCTCATTCTCAATATTTGGGCTTTTATTCCACTAAAGCCATGAGAAATTTTATTTTTAATACACTTTATAAATATATTCAAAGTACAGTTTTATTTTATAAAGCTGGTGTAAAAATCAAGACTTTATAGCAATTATTAGTTGTATATATATGTTCGTTCTTCATTCATATTACCATATGTTATAGTAGTTTACATGTATGTGTTATGAACAATCAGGGATTGGATATGAATTTATTCTTCATGGGAATATGAACTCCAGTATGCTGAGCTATCACCATATCATATTTCCTCTAGGGATATAATTCATATCCAGCCAATGCTAGTCTCTGCATATAGTCCTATGTTATTTTGATTTAAATTGATTGAATCTCAGTTGTGACATATCTGGCAATTACCTATATAGCAATTGCAATTCTAGTCAAATCTTATGTTTCATGCAAAAGGCTAATAAGAAAGTATCAAAAATTTAGTTTATATTTTTTTACTTAAAAGCTCTGGTGCAAACAATCAGTGTTCTAAATGAAGGGCACAATTTCTGTTTGATTTGAGCAATTTTTGGGGAAATAAAGCTGAGAAAGCTTAGTCAATAAGATTTGAGTTGGATCCTGGTAGTTTTGGTTTTGTAGATGAGATTTTTTGTAGATTTGGAAATGTATAATATACTCATCAGTTTGTCATTTTCAAGTAGTCAATGTACATCTTATTTGTTTATATAAACATTTTGATACCCAGTCTTTTCATACCTAATTTGGTATCATATGGTGTATTAATTTATTGTAGGAGTGCAAGTAAGAAAATGAAGAAGTCATTCAGAAACCATGTAGTTTAGCAGATAGAAAATAATGTTCTTTATTTTGTGTACACTATGTACCCTTTAATTAAGAGGCTAGAATTTGAAGGCAAAGTCTAAAGGTAGCAATATATCAAAGAATTAAACATAAGGAGAATCAGTTAATGTTATGCGCATTATCTTAAGTTGTTATTAAGGAGGACAATTCGAGGAGCAAAATGATGACGGTGAGGTGCAATATCTAAAGGAATGATGTCAATGAGGAGCAAAATTCAAAGGAAGGATGTCATCGAGGAGCAATATTGAAAGGAAGGATATCAATAAGGAGCAATATTGAAAGGAAGGATGTCAATAAGGAGCAATAATGAAAGGAAGGATGTCAATCAGGAACAATAATGAAAAGAGGATGTCAATCAGAAGCAATATTGAAAGGAAGGAGAGCAATAAGGAGAAATATCTCAATGATGGATGCCATTGAGAATGTCATCATGGAGCAATATTGAAAGTAAGGGTGTCAATAAGGAGCAATTTCTTAAGGAAATATCTAAAAAATGAGCAATATTAAAAAGAATGGTGTCAATGAGGAGTAATATTAAAAAGAATGTGTGTTATCCAGGAGCAATATCTCAAGGAACGATGTCAATGAGGAGCAGTAGTAAAAGGAAGGATGTCATTGAGGAGTAATATTAAAAGAGAGGATGTCAGTGAGGAGCAACATTGAAAACAAGGAGTAATATTAAAAGAGAGGATGTCAGTGAGGAGCAATATTGAAGGGATTATGTAAAAGGAGCAATATTGAAAGAAAGAATGTCAATAAGGAGCAATATTGAACGGAAGGATGTCAGCAAGGAGCAATAAGGAAGGATGTCAATGAGAAGCAAAAGCCCAAAGAAGGAAGTCAGCGTATCTTGATTAATACCTGATTAATATCTTATACTAGAGCCTTATTGTATTACACTTCAGATTGGTTAACCATCAAAGAACATTACTTGCATTCAAACACTATTTTGATGAACATTCATTGATAGTCATGCTATGGGTTCTACAGATAAAGAGACCCCTTGAACGTGATGGGAAAACCACGGGACACTACCAGTCTACCAAAGAGGTACACATGTGTCAATGTGTCATAGATTAAGATATTTAAGCTATTAATCTGGATTAATACTTCTCAAGAATGCATGGCTTATTAATTTTCAAAAGATTTTGATATTATATTTTGGTTCAAATATTCAGGAGTTTTATAGCACAAATGCCTTGTTTATTTCATAATTCCACATTTAAACTGAAATGAGACTGTATTTTCCTTTCTTGATTGGCCGAATTGATCTAATTTTGCTTTTCTAGTACATTTAATTGTTGTTTAAAATATACAAAACTTCATAAAACTCAGTTTGTTTTGGAAATGACCCCAATATGACTCAAATTACATGGGACAATTTACCCATAAGAAAACATAAAGATAAATGTATGTTTGGTGATCTCAACTTTGGGAGGGCTTTAGTTACTTTTTCATTGGCTTGGATATAGATGTTTTAGCGGGAAAATACGTATATCTTGAGAGATCTTCAGAATGGGACAGGGTGGGTTACAGGCCCGTAGCCAGGATTTACCAAGGGGTGGTCCAGTTTTCAAAAATTTCCAGGGGGGTCACTTTTGACAATTTTTCAGTTTTCAAAAGTTTCCAGGGGGTTCACTTTTAACAATTTTGGCCCAAATATGGCTAAAATCACTTGAGAAGTGCTCAAAATGGTGAAAATTTGCATGATTTTGAAAGAATTTTTGGCCAGGGGGAGGGTTTGCCTGAACCCTGCGAACCCCCCCCCCCCCCTCTGGGTACGGGCCTGGGTTATATACATGTACCATCTCTTCTTTCGAGGTGAGCGGGCGAGACTTTATTTTCACATCAATTTCTTTTTGACAGCATTTTGAAGAGCATTCCTGGAAACATCAAATTACTGCATTGTTTCAAAGTTACTTAAGTAATAGTAGATAATATTCAATTTATGTTCAATTCAATTCAATTGATTAAACCACGACATGCACATACATGCTTGATTTTCCAAATGTTTTGCTAAACACACATTTTCCTAATTATTTCATTCCTTATTAACAAGAAATAGGCTTTTGTTATTTAATGTTATTTAACATATTTATGTTGCTTTTTTATTTATGTTACTATTTTAAAAACCTAATGTTTATTCTTACGTATGGTTCTCTTAGTATTTATAAGTTGTGTGTGGACTGTTACTAAAATATGATAAATTTAATTTATTTCTCTACACTCATATGGCCTTATAGGGACAATATCTTTTAGTTTACTCTGAATCCTGAAATTACTTAAAATTCCTCTATGCATGATCTGAAATGTGCACCTTAAAATAGACTTTGATACAAACCTTCATTTTTGTAAATATCAAAACTTGAATAGAAACCTGGCCTACTTATTTATAAGATGCTATGCATTCACCTCGTAGATTTATAAAATTGAAGAATTTATCAAGCATTGAAATTTTCAGGAAATAAGGTTTAGTACTCATAGTCCATTGAAAGTGGAACTGACGTATCTCTCTTTTATTCTGGAGGAATCATTTAGAGGGAAACAGTAAACAATGATTTTATTCTTATTTGTAAGTTAACTTTTTGTCTTGTGTTGGTCTCGATAAGTTCACTTGGGTTTTGTATTGCTCTCTGTAAGTTGACTTGAGTCTTGTATTCCTCTCCATACAAGTGTAAGTCTGGTATTGCTCACCATAAATTGACTTCAATCTGGTATCGCTCTCCATAAATTGACCTAAGTTTTGTATTGCTCTCCATAAGTTGACTTATGTCTTACATTGCTCTCTATAAGTTGTCTTGTCTTGTATTGCTCTCCATAATTGACTTAAGTCTGGTATTGCTCTCCATAAATTGACTTAAGTCTGGTATTGCTCTCCATAAATTGACTTAAGTCTGGTATTGCTCTCCATAAATTGACTTAAGTCTGGTATTGCTCTCCATAAATTGACTTAAGTCTTGTATTGCTCTCCATAAGTTGACTTAAGTCTGGTATTGCTCACCATAAATTGACTTAAATCTGGTATCGCTCTCCATAAATTGACTTAAGTTTTGTATTGCTCTTCATAAGTTGACTTATGTCTTACATAGCTCTCTATAAGTTGACTTGTCTTGTATTGCTCTCCATAAATTGACTTAAGTCTGGTATTGCTCTCTATAAGTTTACTTGACTTACGTCTTGCATTGTTTTCTGTAAGTTCACTTGGGTCTAGTATTGCTCTTCATAAGTTCACTGAAGTCTGGTATTGCTCTCCATAAGTTTACTTCAGTCTATACTAGCATTGCTCTCTATAAGTTGACTTAGGTCTTGTATTGCTCTCTATAAGTTTATTTGGGTCTTGTATTGCTCTCTATAAGTTGACTTGGGTCTTGTATTGCTCTCTATAAGTTTATTTGGGTCTTGTATTGCTCTCTATAAGTTTACTTAGGTCTTGTCTTGCTCTCCATAAGTTGACTTAGGTCTTGTATTGCTCTCTATAAGTTGACTTGGGTCTTGTATTGCTCTTTATTATAAGTTTATTTGGGTCTTGTATTGCTCTCTATAAGTTGACTTGGGTCTTGTATTGCTCTCTTTAGGTTTATTTGGGTCTTGTATTGCTCTCTATAAGTTTACTTAGGTCTTGTCTTGCTCTCCATAAGTTGACTTGGGTCTTGTATTGCTCTCTATAAGTTGACTTGGGTCTTGCATTGCTCTCTATAAGTTGACTTGGGTCTTGTATTGCTCTCTATAAGTTGACCTGGGTCTTGTATTACTCTCTATAAGTTGACTTAAGTCTGAAATTGCTCTATATAAGTTGTTGATTGTTGTCTCTTCCACAGGATTCCCCACACAATGATGTCAAAGACAGCCATAAGGTTAGTTCACAATTTTGTGTCTTCAATTCCTTAGGTCAGCAGCTAGGCCATATTGTAGAAGGCCTCACCTTTATGGCCCAATTTTTACATTCGTTGCTTGGGCCAGGACCAAGCACCCAAGCTCAAATGAAGCCCAAGACATTGTTCTATTTAATCCAGATAGTGATTTAGGGCACAAAATGTTTATCTAAAATTGGCCTACCTGCTGACCTATGTCTATTAAATATGTTTTTATTTATAACTTCTAATGAGTGAGGATAACAGATAACAACAAAATGAATTTATGATTGTCAAATTGCACAAATAATAAGCTCCCTCCCCTTTCTTGATTAATGTAACACCAGATCCATAGTGGAAAATTGAGAATGATGTCTACTTTAACAGTGTGTACTGTTACCTGATGTAAACTGTGACACAATGCACACTGTGACATAATGTATACTGTGACATGATGTAGACTATGACATGGTGTATAATATAACATTATGTACACTGTGACATAATGTATACTGTGACATTATATATCCTTAAACAGTACTTTGACCTGTTGTACACTGTGACATAATGTAGACTATGACACGATGTATAGTATGACATGATGTATAATATAACATTATGTACACTGTAACATGATGTACACTATGACATGATGTATAATATAACATTATGTACATTATGCCATGATGTATAATATAACATTATGTACACTGTAACATGATGTACACTATGACATGATGTATAATATAACATTATGTACACTGTAACATGATGTACACTGTAACATGATGTACACTATGACATGATGTATAATATAACATTATGTACACTGTAACATGATGTACACTATGACATGATGTATAATATAACATTATGTACACTGTGACATGATGTACACTATAACACATGTTGCCTGTTGCAGAGTTCAAGCAGACAGGGGTCAGAGGAAAGGGAGAGCCAGTCCAAGAAAGACAGAAAGAGAGTCAGCTACCCAGATGTAAGTTTTGTGTTTGTATATTTAATATGCTTGCATTGGCAGTTGCCTGTTTGCCATTTTTAGTGTTGAACATGTAGATTGTGTAAATAGAAATTGAAAAAACTGAATTGAACTGAATGAAAAGCCCAATATTTATAAACACAACTATCCTTGAAAAGGAAAATTTTGAAGTGAGCACTTTAAACATATCATAACCTTACCTCCATTTATGTTTCATTCTTCAGGACAACTAAGATATCTATATTTCCCTTAGGGTATAATCCATATTCAAAACCTCCTACCTGTATATATAACATGATCTTCATTTATGTTTCATTCTTCAGGACGTGTAAGATATCTATATTTTCCTTAGGATATGATCCATATCCAAAACATCCCATATATAACATAACCTAACCTTCATTCATGTTTCATTCTTCAGGACAAGTAAGGTATCTATATTTCCCTCAGGCTATAATCCATATCCAAAACCTCTATACCTAACCTTCATTTATGTTTCATTCTTCAGGAAAATTAAGATATCTATGTTTCCTTTCGGATATAATCCGTATCCAAAACCTCCCATATATAACATAACCCTCATTTGTGTTTCATTCTTCAGGACAAGTAAGATATCTATTATTTCCCATAGGATATAATCAATATCTAAAACCTCCCATATATAACAAAACCTAACATTACATAACCTTCATTTATGTTTCATTCTTCGGGACAAGTAAGGTACTTATGTTTCCTTTAGGATATAATCCATATCCAAAACCTCCCATATATAATATAACATAACCCTCATTTATGTTTCATTTTTCAGGACAGATCAGCTGAGAAGGAAGACAAAGATGCAAAGAGACGTAGGAGTGAAGACCCGTCTGGTGAGTAATTTGTTGATGTTAATGACAATGTTCACAAATGGCCATTTATTGTGCTTATATCTGTTGTTTATGGACTTTTGGATATGTGTATTTATCCCATACTTGGACGTGTTACAGGTACATAAAGCTGGTTTGTAAAAACTTATATTTTCATCAGCGGGCAGATATAGCTTTACGTCCCGCTCCGAGCGGGCAGATATAGTATATCTGCCCGCTACGTCATAATCGCCGCTCGCATATTTGTTCATAATTTGTAACGTTCGCGTAATGACTGTAAACGACAATGGAGAAAACACAGACTGTCTGTTTGATGGTTTAAAAAATGGAAGGAGCATCCACTTAAAAAATTCGAGAAAATAAATGTGGAAATATTTGAGAGAACAGAAAAATCCGCCCACGGCCAAGAAAACAAAACTGGACATGAATATTCTAGAATATTTCCACGATTGAACAATGTGAACCAGATGACCAAGATTGGTATGGGATAAACATATTATCCTATAGTCGGTTCAGGATATTGGGATTATCCCTTGGCCAATATAATATATTTCCCCTCGGGACCTGCGGCCCTCGGGCAAATATATTATATTAGCCTCGGGATAATCCCAATATCTTGAACCTCATATAGGATAATCTCTATTTATCCCATTTAATGAAGTTCGGATGGATATAGGGAACGCCTCCGTCCGACCGTACATCCATCTGTCCATCCGGACAATAACTCAAATACTGTTAGCTGGATTTTGTTCATATTTTGTACACATATACCGTATGGGGGTAGAAGTTCTGCTCGAAAGCCAATTCTCAAAATGGCCATTCATTTAAAAATGGCTGCCATTTTAGTGCCGATTCTACAGTAGTTTAGGTTCAATATGTAAAACTGTAATAGTTTTATGTTTTAAATGTAAAAAAATATATATAGGACATTAATATAAAGCTAGAAATGTAGATATTAAAGAATCACATGGCAGCCATCTTGAAAAATGGTGGCCTTTAATCTTTATTTTACATTTTTTACTAACTTGAAAAGTAGTGGAGTGATTTTGTTCTTATTTGGTATGTGAATACTATAAGCATGGCACACTGTCTAACGACACGTTTGGTAGAAGGCAGCCATTTTGAAAAATGGCCACCATTTTTACATATTTTCCTATAACTCAAGAAGTAGTAGAGCGATTTTGTTCATATTTGGTATGTGAATACAATAAGCATGGCACACTGTCTAATGACACTTTTGGAAGAAGGTGGCCATTTTGAAAAATGGCTGCCATTTTTGCTATATACTTTGTAAAAATTCCAGCCATACTGTATCTGTTCTATGGGATTTGCTACGCTTTGGCATTGTTGTTGTTTAGTTATTCCATTGGTTCACCTAAGTGAACAAGTAATTGATTTGCAAAATGGTTCAATAACTTAAAACATTTTATGAGTTCATAAATTAATAATACAAATGTGTTTTAGGTAAAAGACAGATGAATGGTGAGTCTAGTCGTAGTTCTAAGAGTAAAGGTGAAGCCCAATCATCACCTAGTACCACTGAGAGGAAGGTGAAAACTCCCAAAGAAGATAAAGAAAAAGACCGGGAAAGAAAGAGACAGTATCCTTGAAATAATTGTCGGAATTCTTCCTGTTTGATTCTTTATTGATCTGTACATTATTATTTGAATCACAATATTTTTTCATGGTAATGTTTTATTTTTTAAATAATTTCTTTGAAATTAGAATTTTTGAAGCTGAAGAGTATGCAATTTTTTGTTACAATATATTTTATTCTGCTTCATATTTGAAAATTTCTATACTTAGAGCTGTTGTCTTTGCTGCAGAGCTAAGCTAACTGAAAAGCTGGTCATAAAACTATGCAAAGTCTGATGACGTCATCACTACAAATTTATCCAATCAGAAGCTACTAACTAAAGGCGCGAATTTCAAACTCCTTTTCATTGCCTTTGGTAATATTCAGTCCATAAATTCAATTATGGTATAATTTTTATTAAATGATATTAAATTATAGAGTTGTACAATAGTATGTAGTCTTCTTTAACAGATATACAGCTCGAAAGAATCTAAGAGGAGAGAATAGAAGCAACCGTAGAGATTACCATATATGGTCATAGATACTAGACAGTACCATATATGCTCATAGACACTAGATACCACCATATATGATACGCAGTGGATATTAGAATATTGAATGGAGGATAATGTACTGAACAAATAATGAATTTTCAAACAGTGCAGTAGTTCAGACATACACTGTTATATGTCATGTGATATGCCTTATATGGAAGAACAATTGAATTGTATATCGTACAAACTCTTCTTTACTCTTCCCAAGGACACTTGGAGGACATAGAACTCATCCAGCCAATCCTAGAATGTTTACTGTAAATTGTGTTGCATCTTTTTGACATCTGAATGCTGAGATTTGGATGGTATGAAAATGTGTTCAAACTTAATATAAAAATGTGTTCAAAATATTTTTGATAAATGAAGAATAGCCTCAAATCAGTTGAATTTTGAATATACTGTAAGGTGGAGTGGACGTATTGCAGAGTGGACGTATTGCAATTTTGAATGGTGAAGGAACAGAAATGCGTGGTACTTAAATAAGAAATGCAATTTGTGTGCCAGTTAAACTGTTAACAGTTACTGAATATTGGGTTAATTTGGCGAATTTGGCGACTTACATCTTCACCAAAATTAAGAAAGGATCCCTGGGAATTTTCTTCATCTAATGTATTTAAGTCACTTCTGTCATCTTCCTGTGACTAAACACCTTGGGACATGTAGTTTGGGGAGGGGTTTCAAGGACTGGTAGCTAGACTAGATTAAATTACTTGATCTTGGCTGCAGCTGTATTCTCCAGAATGTCTTACTCGAGAACTGGTAGCCCATTTTGATGACACCTAAAGAGGGAATATACAGGCCTTGATTGTCTATGTTAGTAGAGTGGATATTGGCTTGAAGGGAACCACAACTATCTTGTTCAGAAAATATTCGTTAATGGGTACAGAAGGACTTGGGTCAAGACTACCTCGTTTAGAATGTGGTCCCCCCTCAAGTTATTGAAAGTTATTCAGAATTAACACAACTGCATCATTCATGTCACTGGAAACAAGTAAATCGCAGACTTTGTTCAAATTATATTGCATTTGAGATGTTTTAGTCCAATTAGAAAAAAAATATATAAATATTTATTATTTCATTATAAAATAAGCACTGAATTTATTTTTCATTTTCTCATGCACTTTGTACAAGCCATATATAGAATACTAGAGTAGGTTATATGAAATAAATCTGGATATAATATTTCTTAATTGGTATTATGTTGCTTCATTTGGAAGAAAAACCCATCCGATAAAGATCGTAACTGAATGAAGTACAGTAAAACCTGTGTATATAATCTCATAATATTGAACATTTTTTGCCAAAAAATTTTCAGTGTTAGTAGGTGTTCAATACAGAGAGGGTAATTTTGACAGAAGTCAGAATATGTGCAGAGAAAGGGTGTCCACTAGAGACAGACTGTCCCTAGAGACAGGTGTTCACTAAGACAGGTTTTACTCAACATACATCTTTGACAATATTTCAATTGAAATCATGTCATACAAGGTTCGCTCATTTTATGGTGATAAAAACGTCTTACAGCGAACATGTCAAAAGATCAATGTCATTAGAAACCTAAAATAAGTAAATTTTCCTCTGACCCCCTGAAATAAGTTGAAAACCTCAAGAACAATCAAGGGGAATATAAACAAAATATTTTGGTTCAGTTATCAAGTATGACATAACTCCATTGTAAATCATCAATGTTACTATCATCATCTATAAGTATTCTACAATTATTTATTGTACATGTATTGTGTACATTGTACATGTAGTTTTATGCCCTATTTTCATTGTACAATATCCCCCCTCCCCCCATTATGTTATCAATGCAACAAAAACATTAATATAAACAAACAATACAATATAGCATTATATATAATATAATATTTTTATTTTGAAATATTTTTTATAATATACATGTATAATCAATATTTTAAATACATGTAGTCTTCAAATATAGATTCATTGAATAAAAATGTAATTCTTTTTCACAATACATATGGGCTATCAATGTTTTTTTTATTTAGTTTGTAACATTCCCTTGTTATGTAAATCCCCAAAGGTCCATGTGCAGTATGGCAAGTGATTTTAGACAGTCATATCTTTATCCCATCGAACGAAGTTCGGAGGGATATAGGGAACGCCTCCGTCCGTCCGTACGTCTGTCCGTACGTCTGGGCAATAACTCAAATACCGTTGGCCCGATTTTGTTCATATTTTCTACACATATACCCTATGGGGGTAGAAGTTCTGCTCAAAAGCCAATTTTCAAAATGGCCGCTCATTTCAAAATGGCGGCCATTTTAGTGCCAATTTTACAGTAATTTAGGTGCAATATGTAAAACTGTAATAGCAATATGTTTTAAATGTAAAAAAAATTATAAAGGACATTAATAATGCTACAAATGTAGATATTAAAGAAGCACATGGCAGCCATCTTGAAAAATGGCGGCCTTTACTCGTCATTTTACGATTTTTGCTCAAAACTCAAAAAATAGTGGAGCGATTTTGTTCATATTTGGTATGTGAATATTATAAGCACTGCACACTGTCTAAAGACAATTTTGGTAGAAGGCGGCCATTTTGAAAAATGGCCGCCATTTTAACGTATTTTACTATAACTCGAAAAGTAGTGGAGCGATTTTGTTCATATTTGGTATGTGAATACTATAAGCATGGCACACTGTCCTATGACACTTTGGGTAGAAGGCGGCCATTTTGAAAAAAAATTTGAAAAATGGCTGCCATTTTAACGTATTTTACTATAACTCTAAAAGAAGTAGAGCGATTTTGTTCATATTTGGTATGTGAATACTATAAGCATGGCACACTGTCCTATGACACTTCGGGTACAAGGCGGCCATTTTGAAAAAAAATTGAAAAATGGCCGCCATTTTAATGTATTTTACTATAACTCGAAAAGTAGTGGAGCAATTTTGTTCATATTTGGTATGTGAATACTATAAGCATGTCACACTGTCCTATGACATTTTTGGTAGAAGGCGACCATTTTGAAAAAAATTTGAAATTGGCCGCCATTTTAATGTATTATACTATAACTCGAAAAGTAGTGGAGCGATTTTGTTCATATTTGGTATGTGAATACTATAAGCATGGCACACTGTCTATTTCTATTAATGACACTTTTGGTAGAAGGTGGCCATTTTGAAAACTGGCCGCCATTTTAACGTATTTTACTATAACTTGAAAAGTAGTGGAGCGATTTTGAGTAGTTGGCCATTTTGAAAAATGGACACCATTTTTATGTGTGTTATTTTACAAGTACGTGTGCGATTTTTCAAAAATTTTAGAGGTGGCAACTTAAAAGCATATTATTTCTTCTGATGACAACTTGGCTAGTGAGCAACCATTTTGAAAATGGTGGCGTTTCTGGTGTGTTGTTTTATGATATTTGCTATTCGTTTGTAAAAATGCCAGCCATTTCTGTTCGATGGGATTCGCTACGCTTTGGCGTTGCCGTTGTTCTGGTTTACCATGAGTACTTTCTGGCCATAAAAACAATGTTTTTTATTAAAACAGTATGTTTTCTTTCAAGTGAAGTCCCCATGATAGTAAAATATCAATCCAACTCTTTGAAAAATTATGGATTAGGGTCCCACCCTGGCACTTTTTAAAAAATGTTAGGCTTATTTTCTAAAAAGAGGATCTTGCTTTTCTCAATTTAAACATATCGAAAGTTTCTTCTACACTATATGAACAATTTCTGAAAAGGGGATGCCTATTGAAATGCGTTAAAGTTAAAAACCACATATCCCATGTTATTTTCCCATAGGGAAAACTCGTGCTATCCATTGTTTTCAGCATCTTTTTGGTCATCGAAAATTGAAATCTTCAAAACTAGACTTTCAATACCATTATATTTTTGAAGATGTTTTAGACCCCTTGTTGAATAATCTTTTCGTGCCATAAAAATCAGAAAAAGAATATCCTCTTTTGAGTAAATAGGTTCAATATTTTGAAAAGAATGTTGACATGGGGTCCCTGTTCATAATTTCTTGAATTGTTCGTTTGATATTTTTATCATCATGGGTACTTCACTTGAAAGAAAACATATTGTTTTAATAAAAACCACTGTATTTATGCCCAGAAAGTACTCATGGTGAAAGATGTGACCGTCTAAAATCACTTGCCATACTGCACGTGGTCTTTTCATATAGTGTACTTCTACTCAATTGGTGCGTCTTATTTTGGCGGATTTGCTGTTTTCAACATTTGGCGACTACTTAATTTTGCGGCCATATTGAAGTGTATATACCAGACAGATTTATAATTGAAATATGAAATATTGAATTTGGCAGCTACTTAATTTTTGCAGACTAATTAACAATTTGGCAGAACTGCCAAATTAAAATGAGCGCCGAATTAATATAAGTAGAAGTACAGTACATGTATTATTTTTCATTTATACTTTGGTAATAACTAATATTATAACTTAAAAATTAAGCTGCATCTTAATATAATTTACATATAAAGCACTGTTCTGGCATTTTAAATACCCCTGACAATGTCTCCTATAAGAACATTTATCAATCACAAAAGACATGTAAGAACCTTTATCAATCACATTGATATAAACATGTACATGTACAAGGATTACCTGGCATTTTAAATACCCTTTGCAATATTTCCTTTAATAAAGAAGCTTTATCAATCACATAATCTTTTATCAATCACATATGAACCTTTATCAATCACATAATCCTTTATCAATCACATTGATGTTCAAGGATTAGGCAAAAAAGTTCATTCCTCTATCACTGTTCCACAGCTGGATGACTCCAACTGCAGTTAGCTTCATTTAAGATGGTTGCCGAGAGTCTTTCGTTTTTGATAAACCTCCGATTTCAGCTAAACTAAGTTGAATCTATTGATTCCAAAAGTTTCGCCATGCAAATTAATAAAACTATGATTGTATTCAACCACAAATACATGTAAATGCCGAAACACCTGCAACATTAGAGAATTTTAAAGAAAACGGCTTCACTTAGAATGACTCTAACTAAAGTTGATGATCTTCATCAGCATAACGTCATCATCAACTTCAGTTAAGAGTCATTCTAAGTGAAGCCATTTCTTAAAATTCTCCAATATTGCGGTTGTTTGAGCATTTATTTGAGGTTATTTACCATCGTAGCTTTATTAATTTGCATGGCAAAAAATTTGGAATCCAGATTCAACTTAGTTAAGCTGAAATAGTAGGTTTATCGAAAACGAAAGGATTTCAGCAACCATCTTGAATGAAGCTAACTGCAATTAGAGTCATCCAGCTTTGGAACAGTGTCTATGCTGTAAATAGCAAAATATTGGGAGTGCCAACATTTGCCAAATACAAAGGTAGATTCACAAAGCAGTAGAACCTGTGTAAATGGAACACCCTTGGGACCACAAAAAGTGTTCCAATTGTGAGGCGTTCCACTAAGCAGGTTCCACTGTGGTTTACAAAATTAATTGCATTTTAAAATTTTTGCATGATTTTTACTGTAGACTAAAAAGTATTATGGTGAAATATTTAAATGTAATGCTCATTGTGTCAGTTTGACAAATCAGACTCATGCTTAATATCAGAGCACAAAGCTTACACTTGGTTAATGTTTAATTCACCAGACTAATGTGTATAACATCTGTAAGTTCCTGCTGCTCTTTGTTCTGCCCACTTTTTTCTTCTCTCCTGTTTTGTTTTTTCCCAAGCTTCCTTTTTAAGAACATCAGCTTTCTTTTTTTCCTCGACGTATTCTTCCTTTGTTTTGCCTGGTGGGAGGGGCATGTCGAATATAACAGGAGGGTTGTCTGGTTTGCGGTCTAGATTACAGGTTGCAGCATTAATGAATGTTGTTTGGCCATCAGTCATCTGACCATAAGCTGGAAAGGGATTCACATGTTTCAATATTGCTGTAATATCTGTAATAACGTAGGGCCCATCTCATCCCCAGGAATATACAGGGTGTTCAAAAAAATGCAACCCAAAGAAATTTTCCATTCACGTTTTTTTGTATTTTGCTAGTACAACTGTCTTTTGAGCAAGTGTCCAAGACATCATGTTTTACAACTAACTTACAACAGGGGCTATACATACACAGTCCCTTCTTTCTTTCTTGAAAATATGAACATAATTGGATTAGATATAGCGATTTCTTTGGGTTGCGTTTTTTTTAACACCCTGTACATAATCTGTGTCACATGTTTCATATAAATTGTTGAATACTATCTTACAATAAATTAAATAATAAATTATCTTAAAAAAATTTTCAAAGGAACATAAAAACCCACCTTCATGGATATGACCAAAGCAGTGGTATTTTGGTTTGACTCGTTTCTGTATCGTGGTTAGCAGCTCAGCGCAACCAGCTCTGTCCTTGCCCCTAGTCTCATCACAGAAACCTGAAATAATCAATTAACAGTAATCAGCTTAAGCCTATTGACCTGCACAACAGTCAAAATAATGTTAACAGTCAAATTAAAGTAGATGTGAAACATTACATCCAACAATACAGTACTATTTTAGGTAGGTAGAGAATAAGACAATGAAAGTAGCTTCATGTTATTTGAATAAGAAGTTCATGCACAAACTAACATGTCTGAAGTGAGCACCCAAGGCCCTACACAACTGACATCGAATTTTCATATCAAAATGATCCCAGTATAGCTCTGTGTAGCCTTGCCCAAGTCGGTCTCTTGATTTCTATTATGACGGTAATAATTCAAGATCAGATAAGTAAAAAAAATACCGACTTGGGCAAGGCTAAGCTCTGTGCAACATCACACATATCCTAGCCCCATAAAGTGTTCCAAATCCCAGTAAGTGTTTAAATTAAGATCTTCTTTCCCTTTTGCTTTATTACCTAAAGGTGGTCCATGTGTCATTAGGATGTCTGTATCAGCTGGAATCTTGTCCCATTTATAGAGGATTCTATCACCACGGCGCTCGTTGAATGCCCACCAGCCAAAAATAGGTTGCCTGTTATATAAAATACAATACTTTTGTTATAGAAAGATCAGAGTTCCCTTACTGGAGAACAAAATTCATGTAGTCACTGACGATAACAGCATTTCAATGTATTTCCTATGGCATTTTTACATCTTTATTTGGCATTTGAAAAAGAACTACATGTAGTTAATTAATAGTTATTCGGTGTATACCATTTAATGAAACTATTCATTTTTATTCTTATGGCCGAGTACTAAGAAAAGTAAAGTGAGTGATAATATGAATTCCTATAAAGACATGAAATCATTCATGTTTCCAAACGGATCAACATCCATCAGTTGCACTCGATCTACAGGACATGGAGCAAAATATTTGACATCATAAAAACATGATATTTACATCATACGAAACTTACCAAGGGGAGCCATATATTTTGATGCCATACACCTCTGTTGCACTATCAAAAAGATACGTCCAGTTGGCATTCCCATGTTCTGATAATAACTCATGCATCTGTTCACAGCCATAGTCTTTTCTGATCCATTCATGACAAGCCTCGACATCTAATCCCCATCTAAAATATAAGTCATTATTTACCATTTACAAAAGTCAAGGGTGTAGCCTCAAAAAGTGGGCCTTTTTGGGCATAATTTGCCCTTTTTAAGCCTTTTTGGCCATTTTGTCAAAAATGGGCCTCTATTTTTCAGAATTTGGGCCTAATTTTGGGTTTTAGGGGCCCAAATTTTTATTCCAGTTTCAAAATTTAGCCCCCCCCCTTGTTCATTTCTGGATCCGTCACTGGTCTCAGATATGAAAATATATCAGTTAAACTATGTAGTACATCTAGTTCAGAAAATAACTTCCCCATTCCCCTACTTCCTGATTAACTGCAAGAACAATTTATTCTTAATTCACTTCATCTACATGTATGACACACAATTCACAAGAACATTATAATACATGGAGTTGGAAACAAACAGATGGCAGGCCAGTAGCTAGTATTTGGCAAGGGGGTTCACTTTTGAAAAATTCCAAGGGGTTCATGTTTGACAACTTATTTGGCCCAAAAATGGCCAAAATCACTTGAAAGGTGCTTAGAGTGGTGAAAAACTGCATGATTTTGAAAGAATTTTTGACCAGGGAGGGGTTTGCTCAACTACCTAGGCTACGGGCCTGTATGTTTACATTTAACGATCACCCCTTGTGCAACCCATACTCTATGAATATTGTCTTACCTATCACCACATGTCTGCCAACCAATCCTAGGCCACCAGAAATGAGGGTCAAAGGTCAAATCATGGTTTCCTGCTATGCATATCTTGAACGGATGATCTTGGGCATTGCCTACAAAACATTATAAAATTCAAAATAGTTTGATTTTGCCACTTAAAAGAGAGTTTCATCTACAATCCTTGAATATTACCTTACCAAATCAGATTAAATCGATCAAATGCAGCTACGAATTTTATACTTTCATAAGCAGCTGGCATTTCATATCAAACCTCCAATGAAAGACCATGGCAGCTACTTGTAGGGTCATAAAGATCAGTATCAAAACTATGAAATTATCAGTCAGGGGTAGGGGTAAAAGTACTACCTTCAGGGTATAGCTATACAGACTTATAGCAAAAATGAAACCGTAGTCATATAATTCCCGGGAAAGTACTTTCACTTTCATTTTACAAAATTGTGTCGTAAAATATTCACTCAGTTCAGTGCATTATAAGTTTATTACATGCTATGCCTACAATACACTAAGTTTGCATGAAAATTCTGTCATTTTTTAAATCCTTTAGTAAAATCACTTACCCAGATCATCATTCATGCGGATGATTTCATTCGGGTCCCCGTCCCATGACATGTCCCCACAATGCAACAGTACATCACCGGGAGGAATCTTCCTTCTGAGTGGCCATGTTTTCCCTTCTGTGTCTGAGACAACAACAAACCTTACCTGAAATAATACGACCATATTTTATATTAATTTGTCATTAATTTACACCCCCCCCCCCCCTACCCCCACCTCCATAAGTCCCCTCCTGGATAGTGCTTTACAGAGCATGGTCATGTTTGGCAATTTAAAGAAATCAATCAAATTGTTATGTTCTGAATTATTGTTGCAAAAGAACCAAAAAATTCAAATATTAACAGGCTTTTACACACTATCACAAGAAGCATAGGTTTTGGGCCGATATAAAGATGGCAGCACCAACAGAATCCAGTATTATCTATTTATAAATAAACAAAGATCAATTACCATGCCATCTTTATTTAAAAATTATTTCTATCGACCTTTGCCTATGACAAGAAGCCTTCTGGTTGCCAAAACTGGAGGGGGGGGGGTGTACTTGGAGGTGGAGCTTGTGGCATACAATTTGGACCTATTTTTTAGTTAGTTTGGGAATCTACATCCAAAATTACTCTACTACTTGGCATACTTTAATAAAACCTGTTATAACATGATAACATCACATTTGCTGTTTATTGGTGAGACAATCAGGAAGTAATTAAATATGACTTTAGGTTCTTCACCAATCTGAATGCCAAATAATGTAGTACATATGTCAAATTTCTCTACCAAACTTCCATGTTCAATTTTTTGTTGAACAGTGAGTTTCCAAGCATTAAAGCAAATGGAACCCACTTGATATATTGAAAATAGGCTTGCTCCTTCTCAAAAGCCCCTTTGAAAGCACCCGATATTGAAAATGAGAAAATCAAGATAAATATTATTTATGTACATGTATATTTTAAATAGGCATATTTGAATTGGGGTGAATTTTGAAAAATGTGAACCTTGAGCCTACACAGGGAGATATGCTGAGTATTAATAGTAATCATGGCATTTTAGCACTAATTGAGTACTCATTTCATCAAATAATAGTACTAAATGAGCACTAATGACTTTGAGCACTGATTAAGAGCATGTTTTAGTTCTAAATGAGTACTCATATCATGAAATAGTACTAAATTAGCACTCGTGGCATGAGATGTATACTATCTAAAAATCAGTTTCGTTTTGAAATCAATGTGTTTTTCTGTTGAAATCCATTTACCCAGAATTTTATCTCAGACTAACCCTGCAGGAAATAAAATGTCAGACAAAAAGTAGTATCATAATTCAAAATACATGTAAGTTCTAGATGACCCATGGATGATCAAGTTACAATGTATCTAAGGTAGTGATATCAAACATGTATTCTTGGATCATGAGTCATGACTCATGTGATTTCCAGTTAACATAGACAGTACAAATTTATCAAAACTACCTTATCTGGGTATATAGGAGTATCAAGAGGCATCGGCTCAACTTTCTCTTGAACCGGTTGTGTCTTCTTTACTTCCTCCCAACATTCTAAGGGGTCGTCTGATAATTCATGGACTTCAAGTCCACTTGGTTGTTGTTTTTCAGCCATTGCACCAGATGAACTACTTTCAAATATTGAAGTTAATCCCCCCAGTTTGAAACTATGCCTATACAGGTATGTAGTTGGTTGGTAGCTCTCTTAATCAATCCTGCTGTATCTCTTTTAATTATCTATATTGAGATTCTTGGACCCTCTGCTTGCTTTTATACCAAGTCTGAAATGATAAAATGTATGGATTTTTTCAATGGTACCTGAATAACATAAGGTAGTGATATATGCCACACTTAAAATAAAAATAAGGTTCAATGTGCAGTATTAAAAAAAAACTTTTAATTATTAACTTAAAAAACACATTAAACCTGTGTATAGTGAACACTTGAATTTCGATAAAATCCTATCTGCACGAAACTGTGGTAAATAAATGAGACCTATTGTGATGTTCACTAGAACAGGCTTTACTGAAAAGAAGATGGCCTTGAAAACCATAACATTGTGAAACAGATTTTTTGATCACTAGAATATCCTGGAATTAGCAAAGATTGGCTTTATACTTCCACAGAAACTGAATCAAATAAACCAATTCAACTTACAGATGAAATCTTCCATAAAAATGCAACTGATAAATCAACGAGCTTCTTGACACAATTATTTTAACAGCTTTTAAAGGAAAGAATTATAAAAAGGAGAATACCTATAATATTATGAACAATTTGTTTTTCTTGCCTTTCTCCAGTTCTCAGTAATCATGAATCAACTATTGCAGTGGATTTTTTGTAGAAATTCTACACACATTAAGATATCTTAATCTATCTTAATTCCACAGTTATTTTTTCTTTTTAGTTTCCTAGTGTAATTTATTCATTTTTTCGAAATTATTGAGTAAAACACAAATTTTGATGAAATATCAAATTAAATTCAAATTTCATATCATTATTTTACTGACTGGAATTCCCAGGCATTTAGAGCTCCTACTATGTAAACACTTTGACTTAATATTTTCTTGTGATTTAAAATCATATTTAATCATTTTCTTATCACCTGAATTAAAATATGATTTATTATACTACTTTTTATACAATAGATAATCAGGTAAAATTGTTTATGGAACAATTACCTGATATTAATACATTATTTCAATTTCGAGTTTGATGTTATATGACGTCACGGGCACCTGCCTCACGACGAAATGTCATTATTATTTTTCATAATTTTACATATACTGTTTCGTATTCAATATGCAGAATTCTAAAACAATATAACTTCATAGTTATTTATTATGATATATAATATCAGAAATATATAGAAAAATGATTATTCTAGCTATCTTGTAGTTGCGAATCGATGATTATTTATTCCAAATATAATGTGACAGACTGTTGTGTTTGTCCCGGCAACTGCATATAACAAAGATGGCGGCCAAAATTGGAATTGCTGCCAATTTGCGATGATTTATCAGTTATTATGTCACTATCATTGATATAATAAGATTATTTAGATATCGAAAGTCGGCATTAAGAACTCGAACTTACTTCTTTGAAGATGTATTGCAATATACGTTGACAACAAGCAAAATACTACAAATAAAAGACGCGTAGGAAAATTAATTTTGTGTGCAAATTTTTGGAAAAAACTGCAAAAAAAGTGATAACTATGGCTGCTGAAGTAATGTCGATAGATCCCTTCAAAAGGAATGCTTATTCAGAAAGTGAGTAGATCTAGAATATTTCATTCTTTTCTTTACTAATTTCTTCTACCAATCTTACAATCTTGGACTTTGATAACCTCAAATGTCAAAATCTTTGTCTCTCTAGCTCCTTCATGACTGACAATTTTGGGGAAAATGGAAAGAAATGAAAAACTGAAATGTAAATGAATCTAGAAGCAAGAAAAGGAAGCAACACCCAATAAGTTATATGTCATTTTGAAGGGCTATACCCATACTTTATGTTTTTTGAAAAAAATGTGAATATGCAAATGAGATAGTGTCATTGTGACGTCATAATTCAAGATGGCGCAGTAGGATTTTTTTCAAAATATAATTATTTTAGCATTTATTTTTTATTGAGACTTCAATTTAAAAATCTGGAAACGCAGAATTATAGATCTTCTTATGCTGATTTCAGTGGTATTTATACCATGACATAACTCCTACAAATAAATTTTTTAGAGCTTCGAGACTGCAAATTCTCGGAAAATCCCTATGGCGATTTAACATGGGATTTTATCGTTTTCGCAATTTTTCGCGCGCTCACCAGCTTCGGATCACTGTAACTTTGTAAATACTTAACGAAAAGTCATGAACTTTTTTTTAAATGTTGGTACAGACTTCAGGATTAAATAAATTGATAAATCATGCATTTTTATCATCAGGGGTCCCTTGGAGACCCCTTAGAACAAAATCGATCATATATGATCGATTTTGGTTTTTACTATTCTAAGGGGTCTCCAGGGGCCTTGTTTCAATAAAACTGCAAGAATAATGCATTTTTTAAAAGAATGGACCAGTAGGAACATTTTAAAAAAAAGATTGTTTGAATCTGATGACTCTGTGCAAAGTTAGAGGCACTTGAATCTGACATGTCGCGAAAAAGTATTGAAAACGATAAAATCCCATGTTAAATCGCCATAGGGATTTTCCGAGAATTTGCAGTCTCGAAGCTCTAAAAAATTTATTTGTAGGAGTTATGTCATAGTACAAATACCACTGAAATCAGCATAAGAAGATCTATAATTCTGTGTTTTCAGATTTTTAAATTGAAGTCTCAATAAAAAATTAAATGCTAAAATAGTTCCATTTTGAAAAAAATCCAACTGCGCCATCTTGAATTATGACGTCACAATGACACTATCTCATTTGCATATTCATATTTTTTTTCAAAAAACATAAAGTATGGGTATAGCCCTTCAAAATAACATATAACTTATTGGGTGTTGCTTCCTTTTCTTGCTTCTAGATTCATTTACATTTCAGTTTTTAATTTCTTTCCATTTTCCCCAAAATTTTCAGTCATGAAGGAGCTAGGCTAGCTCAATCATGTCTACACACACATCTCTTCTGCTAATGAAATGCTACAGTATTAGTATGTACCATTAATACTCTGTCATGTCTCCCTGCTTGTGTTAAACAATATCTCTGCTTAAATGTGCTTAGTAGTCTTTTGCAGATTTTTTATGTAGATTTTCTTGAAGAGAGTAAGGTACATGTAATTCGGGAGGGGGGGATTTCATACATGTAGGCTATTTGAGCCATAAAGAATACTTATTAATTGAACAATTTATATTTACAGATGTCAAGTTTGATATTCCCGACAAAGGCAAGAAATACTCCACTGGACCAAAGTCTCCAGTTACAGGAGCCGCAGATATCCCATCAGATGGAGCAATAGAGGTCTATAACCCAGAAATCAATATGAAGAAGGCCCCTCCTAAGGAATGGGAGCTGGATGTTAAAGGGATGATTTCTACCAAGAAATGGCTGGCAAATTATGGACTGAGGAGAAACAGATTGGATATGCATCATGTTTTACCACAAATTGGTTTCAAACACAGTGATGGTAGGTATTTGATGCTACACAAAACTAGATTTCAAAACTCACAAACTCAGTCAAGATTCTAAATTATATCGCAGGACATTTCCTGGCTTTGTTATTAAAATTGTGTTCAGAGTCATTTTCAGTGTAAAAACTCACAGCTGCTTCACTGCCCATGGCAATCACTTTTCACTCTGAATGAACTTGTAAAAATGATTGACAATTAGGCAATCAACTGAACGCCAATAAGGTAAATCAGGCAATCATATTTTCAACGTTAGTCGTCACTGTTTCTAGCCAGTGACAATTACTTTTCACTCTTGGCAATGAACTTAGAAATATGTGTTGACTGTGGGACAGTGGGCTGAATGTCAGTGTCGATTAAGTGTCCAACCTTTACACAGCGAATGCTTGTACAAACTTTGGTTATTTCTCATGATTAAACCTTGGCTAAATACTCCCATCCAATCAAATCACATATTTACCGTTCATGCAATCTTATGATAACAACTCAATGTTCCATAGTGGTTTCGTTTTTTATTTACTTGTGATAGGCTATAAATGTTCCTTCTCTTATGGCATTTGAACTTACATAATCAGATTAGAATACTCTACAGGCCCGTAGCCAGAATTTTCCAAGGGGGGGGTTCGCTTTTGCAAAAAAAACTAGGGGGGTTCACTTTGGCAAATTTTGCCAAAAACCATTAAAAAAATAGTCAGAATGGTGAAAAACTGCATGATTTTGAAAGAAATTTTGGCCAGGGGGGAACCTGAATCCCCCCTGGCTATTGACCTGCTCTATGATATGATCAGTATTGAAATAACTGAGTAGAGTTGAGGATTTGGATAGGGCTATAACATGATTCTTTGTCAGAATAGGAAAATGAGATTTGAGAACTAAACTCACTTTTTAATGTTTATTTAAAAAAGACTATACCTTGAAAATACAAAATAATTTATATATGTAGCTATAGTCTGTCACGTTTTTGAAGGTAGATACACAAAAGATAATTTAAGTGTTCTTTGATTTTTATTCATTTATTATTCTAGCTCAGTAATAGATTATTAACTGGAACTTTGAAATCAATTAATGAATTAATAAATAAAAAGGTAACTTATGAAATTAGAGCATGATCTTGAAAATTGAAAAACCGAACCTACATGTATACACAAACCGATTCATCAATATTAGAAATACAATACAAAGCTAGTCCTACACAGTAAATATTTGAGTTTCTCCAGACAAAATACACAATATTTGAAAGCTATTCATAAACATTGTATTAACTTAAAGGTTTTGGTTAATAATGCTTTGGTTTGTTTGTACACTGTAAATAGCAACTGCATTAGTGGTTTATGAATTAATTACATACTGAATATTACATCATTAACAATTGAGCCAATGATTATGATCATGATAGACTTTATTGCTTTTAATTTAATGACTTCTTTACTAATTCTACTTTTCTTATTTACTTAAATTAATTACTTCTCACTGTGGGTATCCTTGGTCCTGAAGGAAGAAAAGAGCCTTAAAATGCTTTTTATTTGAAGCTTCTAGCTCAATTTTGAAGGAAGTTACATACATTTTTGTAAATTCAAAACAAATCTTACACGTTTTCTAATGATCTAATTACTCTAATTTTGTTATATATTCGTATTTTCATTTTTTGGGTACCTGTTTTTTTTGACCGGGTACCAAGTTTCAACCCAGCATGGAGGATTTACTACCCGGTACCCGGTTTTTTCTACAAACCCCTGTTTGCAGAAGGTGGGCAATTAAAATCTTGCCTGACATTAACAACAGATAACTATAATCTTCTCTTAGATATAATCCAATTTCCATTCTCTAATCTCAACTGATTAATATTGCCCTATCTTTATTGCGATTTTTCAAGTATTTGTTGACTTAGAATGATCAGAATTATTACAATTAGGGTCTGATAAGCAATATGAGATACATCATAGATCCAATACATTTACGCATCATATCTGTTTTTCACCCTCAATGACCAATCGATAGACCCTATAGAATGAGAATATTGAAAAACTAGTATCTGATACTTTTCCTTTGGTCGAAAATATTCCAGAGTCGATTTTTTGAGGGGAGGTGGGAAAATACATGCATGTCTGACAGTGACTGTTCATAAAGATTGGTTTTAATGGCAGAAAATAGAATTGAATTAGACTGCACTGTCTTTATATTTAGACAGGCTATTCTCCTCCAGGTATCATGTTCAAGTTTGTACTTTTAGAAAGTCATCATATTTGACATGTTATACATCACTTTTTGCTAGTTTCATGTTTAAAAAGGTGATAGGTATATATTCAAAATTCTACTTAAAAGGTCAATCTAACTTTCTTTTCTGAAAAAATGAAAAGTCAGATTTCCCACTTCTTACCTTTCTATTATGATAATTGATTGTATGGTTTTACTTGACAATAAAAGTACTTAATAATTTCAGTTAGCTCAGGGATGTATGCAAGCTATTTGTATTTAGTTCCTGGGTTACTGTAAATACTCAATTATAATCTACCATCCTCCATAACTTAATTCAACACAGTTAGTGATTTGTGTGGGCTTTAAGTATTGCCACTGTTTTCATATACAACCGATCACAGGTTCATTTGTATATAGCCATGTTTGCATGAATTATTTATTTTTAATCAATTATTTGGTCAGAATTTGGAATACAGTGCAATGTACTGCTTAACCTAGCGTGCCCATATCCAATTTATTTAATTAATAGATCGTATTTGTTGTAGGTTATTCTACATGTACATGATCAAGGATCAGTGACCCCTTCAGTATTTTGCCTCAATTCAGGGAAAATTAATTCTGATGAAAGGATGTAAAAAAATACAAAATATCTCAATATCTCATAATTTTCCAAATTCTGAGTGAAATGCAATTTTCAAATTCTCCACTGCAATCTATGAGATCACTGTTATAATTGGATGGTTTTGGTGATGTTCATGAACCATTTTTTATTCAAATTATTTATGGTATGCATGCTAACACCCAGTCACATTTGTCGTACGGAGGGCGTGCGTCGACCGCAGATCAATTAAATCAGTGTATTTCTGTGTAGGAAAACTATGCTCGCCTTGCGGCCTCCGTGCGGTGTATCCAGTTTTTTAGAGGCCGCAGGGTCACCGTAGAAATTATAACTCAGAGTTATAATATTTGTTCATTTCTGAGGTCCCCGTAGAAATCAACTGGCTCAACAAGATTGAATCATTATTTGTCAATGTTTCACGATCACTTTTCATTTGATATTACATCCTAGCACTTTGAATAATATTTATAAATTGTCCTGATATAAATAAAATGAAAAAAAACTATTATTTATCAATAGAAATCTAAAATTCACCGTGCGGCTGCCGCCACTGGACCACTGAAATATACACTCAAAATACTAAAGCTCATATTTTTATTATAATTGATTCTATAAATTTATTGATTTTTCCAGAATTTGATTCCTCAATGAAGAAACCAATAAGCAGTCGCTATGGTGATGGGTTGTTTCAACGTTTCAACAGAAATGATGGAAGGACTTTCAATGTAAGTACAGATACATACCGATTCACTTCTCTTTTGACAACCAAATAAAAGACACAAGATATTATACATGTATTTCAGGGCCCATTAATATTTCAGTCTCAACATTCCATAAGACTTCAAAACTCTAAATTGACTTTCTCTTGATTATTGAACATTTAATCTTAATTTTTAATAATTTTACTTATCCTAAGTTTATTTTGTAATTTTAAAACTGACAAGGCTTTAGTTCAAAATACATATACACAAACATTTTAATATATTTACAGGTGACGTGTGGAAAAGAGAAACTTAAACAACTAGCCAATAGGCTAAGCCAGGCCATACTTCTGTATAAACGTCGCCTGGAGTGGTTGACCACTGAAAGCAGGCGTATATTTGGTGTCATAGAGGAACACTGCGTATGCATTGTCCTTGATATAAAGAACATGTCCCCTCAGCAGTTTGATCAGTTCCGCTGTGCAATGGAGAGAGTTCTTAGGGAGCAGGTCTCTCAGCTGGCAAAGTTTAATATTATGAGGTAAACTTTTGTTATTTAAATCTTTCTTATATATAAAGTGAAACCTGTGTACATTGAACACATGTAGAGCCACACAAATATGTACACTGTAGGTAGGTGTTCATTACAGAGGGCAATTTATATAGTATAGCCAGTAGAGTATGTGCGATGGAAGGGTGTCCACAAGAGAAAGGTGTTCACTAAGTTTTACTGTATATGTTTTATTGACTCAATAACCATGTCATATAAATGACATATTAGTCACTTATACAAGTTGTCTCTAACAGAAACTGTGTAATGTTAAGATGTTCTACATAATATTATTTCTTTGACATACAAGATGATTTTTTATTTTCTCTTATATTTATAAAATGACTCCATTATTTCCTACAGGGCCGCTGAAGACTCCGTGAAGTACCAGCCTGAAGCTATCCCCGTCACTAAGGCCACTATAGAGGGCGCTATAAATTGGATGTGGAATATAGATCGTCTTGCTGCCGTGTCAAAGACCGCCACCTGTGAATGCGTGCTTAATGCTATGACAGACCATAATGTAAGTGGGGTTATGAAATAAAACCTGCATACAGGGAACAGTCTTTGTACTGGTTGTAATTGCTGCTTGTAGAGAGGTGTAATCCTAACAGAGATTGCGTTTACACAGACATGTTTAAATCATTTGAAAAACAGGTTGTCCTTGGAGAAAGTCTCTGACAGTATTTGATGAAATCTAATGGTAATAACTCAAATGAAGAAGTAAAACTACTTCTTATATCGAAAAAGACATTAATTTTCAAATATGTGAATTATATGTTTATGGGATTTTGTTGTCAGCACCAAGAGTGGTGACATATTGTTATAGTCTCCAACTTTTTCGTGTTCGTTGGTTGGCATTTGCTGTTCACCAGTTAGTATCTGTATCAAATTCTTAGTTTTCAATAACCATTTGCAGGTGGTGACATTCTTCCGTCTTAATACCTTGTGTTACTCTGACATGATCTGTACATCTAATGGTGATACCTTAAATGCAAAAATAAGCCTTTTTTGTACATACCAATTTAATCTTTATTTCCATGTATGTGTATTCAGTTATATGTTTAATACTTTTATTCCAGATTGAAGCTGTTTATCTATTCACAGAAGGACAGTCAGTTGATGGATCAAGAGAACTGCTGAAAGAGAGGGTAAGTTTCACATTTTCACATTTTCTCATTCTGCTTTCACATTGCAGTTTCACATTTTCACATTGCAAACAAATACATAATATATGTAGGATTTCAAGCTTTTGAAATTAACAACACACTTTAATAATAATTCACAGTTTATATGAATAACTATTTTATCATCTTTAAACATATCTGAGTTTACTGCTCTAACCACAAGCTTTTATAATAATTCACAGTATATTCATATTAGTGCTTAATATTTTGATCACCTTAAAACGTTTTTGAGTTTAATGCTTTTGCTTATTGTGATTAGATCAAAAACAAGTCCGAGAGTGTTCAGGTATAATTATACAATTTTCAATCTTGAATTTACTAACTAGTTTAGTCTTTATGTCACCACCAACGAGTGGTAACATATTGTTATAATTATCATTTATGTTACCAGTGTTTGGTATCAGTGTTCTGTATCTATAACAAGTTGTTACACCTTAGTAACCGTTTACAATTAATTACCAGGTAGTGACATTGTGTTATGTTAATGACTCATTTTTATTTCTTATTAATAACAAAACTAACAGACTTTTCCACATGTTAAAACCTGAATATCAAAACCTTTAAAGGTGAATACCTAGAACCAGTGAGATTGTGACAATTCAATTGGTTCATTTCATGTCAATGGATAACTCAACATTTTGTTTATATCCCAAAGTTAAGGGACTTTTAGGTCCAATTTTTATATTTTCATGAAAGCCATTCATGGTAAACAAAACACTTGTCATACTTATTTACTACATGGGGCCAAACATTTATATTTGCAGATGCACAAGAAAAAAGAAATCGTTTTTTCCAAATTTGAGGGGAAATTTTTTTATGAATTTTGATTTTGTTTAAATATAAGTCAAATGAATGTTGGTAGCCTTTTATGAAAAACTAGGTACAATTCTTCCTGTTATTTCTCACTAAACATATGTGTTATGTTTATGTACTATGGTTTAACACTAGTGGACCTCAATAGCTCAGCTCTGATTGGTCAATAAGAAGTATACAATTTACCCCGTCTGCCTCCAGAGAATCAACAGCTTACAAATTGACTAACAAATGTTTTAACAATTACTATACATATAGTAATGTTGAGTGGTAGACTGGCCAAATTGTATACCTCCTCTATAGATCAAGCTGTAAACTTGTAACCCTGTTCACCCCAGGAGGGGTCAACAATTATCTGTTTTTGTCCTATATAATATATACTTATTACAGCTGGAGAAAATCTATCCAAAGAAATATAGTGTAGGTATAGTGTATATATTGAGCATGTTATGGAAATATAGATTAGTATAAGCTCTGTATGTAAATACAGTAGTTTCCCTATTTCTTATGTACTTTTATACTTTTGTAAATTGATTAATGGACATGGGAGTTTGAATATAAGATATATATTTTTGATGGAAATATGTGCTTAGTTTGCATGATGTTTTTTGCTTGCATGACCTTGCTTATTGCATGACATCGCTTTTTGCATGATTTGATTATTTGCATGACATCATTGATCCGATTAAATACGATATTGCATGACACCTTATTAAAATTATACGATTCTTTGCATGGCATCAATTTTTTAATGAATATTGCATGACACCTTTTTGTATGACATCATTCTTTGCATGGCATATTTAATGAAATTAAATATTGTATGACACCTGTAAGTATGACATCATTCTTTGCATGGCAGATCATCAATGGTTTCATGAACTATTGCATGACACCTTGTTGTATGACATGACGTATTCCTTTGCATCATTTCCAGCGTGAAATAGTTTGTTGCATGAAATCTTTGTCTTGATAATTTTGTTAAATTGAGTGATCACTCATTACTCAGGACAGTAGTCAAACAACTTTTGATTGAGAATAAATAAATCTCCAAACTAATTAACTCGTTCAAATGTAAATTCTTAGTATAATATCCTCCTTTCTATTTTGCATGTAAACTCCTTATTTCTGAGAGAAGTGTTTGTACAGATGTATTTTTTTACGCCAAAGAGTCAATATTGGGAATTCACATGCCCTCATTAGTCACTGTGTTTTTAATGAGATTTTATTAAATTTTGATGCTTTATATTTATAGATTTTGAATTATTTTCACATTCATTATTATGCCACTTTATAATCTACAGCTTGTATTTTATATTCCAAAGTACCATGAGCAATGGCAGATCCAGGGGGGATCCATTTTTGAGCCCAAATATTTTGTAAGGCCTCAAAAATGGGCCTTTTTGGGCATAAAGCCTTTTTAGAACAAATTATCAAAAAAGGGCCTTTTCAAAGTTTTTCCTTTCTCAAACTTTGGGCCCCCCTTGCTAGATTCTGGATCCGCCAGTGATGAGGGGAGATGAAGCTTTCTTAAAGTAAAGTCAAACCATTTGAAAGGGAAACGAATGAGTCAGTATTTCAAATTATCTACCCCTGTGAAGATGTCTGAAATGTTTGTATAGAACCTGTGAAAGTGAAACAACCTTGGAACCACAAAAAATGTTTCACTTGTGAGGTCTGTGTTCCAGTTTCTACAAATACTCTATTGTATTGCATATTATTATTTATTGTATTACATATGTATCTACAGGTACGGGGAGGCCCAATGCCCTTACATGTTGTATCCTACAATTGTTCGGATCCTACCACTATATCATTCCTCAAGCAAATAGCTGCTGTGACTGGAGGAAGGTAAGAAATGGAGAAAATGTTACACAAGAGTCAGACTTATTTTACTCTATACCCTAAAATTTAAATTAACTTCCAATTTTTCTGGTTCAGTAAAACCTGGTTAAGTTGAACACTATTGGTTTCACCAAAAGGTTACACTTGGGAGGTGTACCACTTATTCTTCAATTGACATTAAGTCAATGGGTTTCAGGACCGTGAAGAGTGTTCATATAAGAAAAGTGTTCAACTTAGAAATGTTCCACTTCACTTGGAGTTATGCTCATATCATATTAGTATTACAAACATTATTTGGTTGGAATAAATCTATTAATTGATTTAATTTACAATCAAACATTTTTCACCCATGATTACGTTGACAAATCTTTTCATATAATTTCCATACAATTTCATATAGATTCCATGCCTATGCAGTCATCATGGAGATGGACTCATATGAGGGTCTTCCTGTCGACCCAAACACCAACCGTGCTAACATTGTACTGAAGAAGAAAACATATGGGGGAGTGCCTTCCGGAGCAGGCCTTCGGGAAGATGTTATTCTCCTTTTTGAAGAGCTAGAAGATGCCCGAAATACACTAGCGCAAATACAAGCACTCATGGATGAAGTACCAGATCCTCCAAATACCTATGGTAAGGATATGAATGAATTTCTAGTTGGATTGTTTCTACTTCCCATAGTATTTAATGAGATATTGTTAGGGGAAAAGTTCATATTTTTAAAAAATACAAAATGTTTTATAAATTCATGAAATAACCTGATTGAGATCTGGAACATATCTTTCATTGGTTTAAATTCTATGAATTATGTTTAAAATGATATGTACATTACAGTAAAAACAGTACAGTACAAAAATATGTTTTGATTTGATTTGTTTCTTTATAATTGTATCATCAATTTCTTTTGAAAAATCCAATTAGCATAATGTTATATTTATTTCAATGCAGCAAATAGGAATATTATGCCAAGAGAAGGTAATCTATTCTGTCAGTGAAAATATGAAACCAAAAAAAGATTAAAATTTCATTTTTCTCTGTGAGCCTTTTTTACAAGGATACATATGACAATACTCAGAATAATTGACAAAACACTAAAAATGATAATTGACAAAACACTAAAAATATAGAGAACCCTGTGTAAGTGGAACAGTTTGGTACCTCTAAAAAGTGTTCCACTTGTGAGGTATTCCACTGACAGAGGTGTTCCATTTTACAGGTTTCACTGTATTACAGCATGCAAAATCTAATTCCATATTCCGTATGTTTTCCAGAACCAGTAACAGAAGCTTATGAACCAAAGAAACGCTCTGAGCAATACATGGACTCTAAAGAGTGGCTTCAGAAGCATGGGCTGTCCGCTAAACGTTTGGGGTTCTTTGATGTGCTTGGCGGTGTTGCGTTCAAACATTGTGACGGTGTAGTTGACTCTATGAAACCACCCTGTGAGGAGGACGAACAGACAAATGCAGTAAGTTAATATCCATGAGCCCTCTATAAAAGGCAGTCATATACTTTCAAGTTTCCATAATTGATTTACCTAGAAAAAGTACAATTAGTCATAAGCTTTGCAGATGGGCATTGTAATCTGTCTTTTTTAGTTTCGCATACTCATGTAAACATCTTGATTTGAAATTGTTAGAAATTTTTTCTTGGTATGAAAATGTATAGCTGATTAGATTTTGGACATGTTGGTTCAATTTTAAGGTGGCCATCAACAGTTTCACTGTTATATCCTGTGTTCTGCTTAAAATTCATTCCTAAATTCCATTCTTTCAGATTATCCAGCCAAAGTTGGTGAATGCAAGGTATTGTGATAAATTTGCCCATGTACGTTGGCGTGATGGGAGAGTTGTCCATGTGCAGGTCACGCCTGAGATACATAGGAATTATGAACAGAGAATGAGAACAACATTGGAGGCCATAAAACAAAGGTATATTGATAGAATCAATTAATTGGTGATCTATTAGCATTAGAGCAATAAGGTTTTTGAAAATTTGAAAATTACATTCTGTATGTCACCTGCTGAAAATTATTGCCATCCCATTGAAAATATGTATAATCCTTGTTGAAAATTACGGACCACCCCATTGAAAATTTGTCGTTGAATTTGCGTCATTATTTTTAGTCTTGTTTTAAGGGTCTTTAAAGATTTGTCAATATCCATTTTCAAGCTCTTATATTATATTTTAGCTTTGCCTCTTGATTTAAATTATATCAAAACATTTGACAATGGTACAACTACATGTATATATTTCAAATATATAATAACTCATAAACCATTTGTAGGATTGACTGGTTACATCTTGGCAGTAGGGAGTTATTTGGTACAGTACTAGAGGACCAGGTCTATTTTCTCATAGATGTCTCAGGCTCAATGGTTCCTAGTATACAGTTTGTCAAAGATAAGCTGTTTGTGCTTATGCAGGTAAGCATTAAGAAGGGGCTTCATTTGATCTCATTCTCCAAATGCAGAATTTCAGACATCAACCACTCTGTTCCTTTCTTCGTTGGAATTTGGAGAAAGGAAGAAGGAATGAACATAGTGGATGATATCTGGAGCCCTGCTTTGGGAGGATGATTTTATAATTTGGGGAACTGTCTCTTTCAGAAAACTTGTGCCTGGTTTTTGAGCCTGTGAAAGACGAAATATCCATGTTTAATAGTTTTTGTATCATAAATAGAGCAGGTTTAGAATAATACATGTCCTGTAGGTCAAGTTAATTTGCCAACCAATTTAATTTGGCGAATTGCAAAAATTCGCCAATTCATGTCTTTTTCAGAAATCCTCAGAAAATTTTTTCATCCGGTGTAAAATTTCCAATTTTGCCCAAAATAGCAATATGAAATCGCACCAAATTAAGTTGACTGACAGTATGCAGTACAAGACTTTGATAGGAGAGAAAAATATAGGAATAAAATGTTGTTATTTTTTCTAGGAACAATTGCGACACAAACAGAAGGTCAATTTCGTAGCTTTCAGCAGTAAGGCAGTTCCCTGGAAAGATCGCCTGGTGGATGTGAATGAGCGCAACCTACAGGGGGCATGGGCTTGGATACAGAGCCTCTCATGTCAGGGATCAACCAATACGCTTGCAGCATTGAAGTTTGCCCTTGCTGATCACCAGACACACGCCATCTATTTGCTGAGTGATGGCAGGCCCGATCAGGTATTTCAGAAATTGTATTGATCGACACTTCATGAAATTACATTGCAACTATCTTTAAAAGTTCAACCTAATCAGAAAGTTGTCTATTCGTCCATGCATATGATTTAATTGTTGAGACATCTAACTGACCAATATTATTAAAATGAATACTGAAAAGACCTGCATATACCTCTCTCTCAAACAGCAAAAGGATATGTACATGTATTGTACGATAGCCTTTAGTTAAAATGAAAAAAATAAATTTTAATTGGCATTTGTATTCCATTACTTTTCAGCCACCAAAGAACATACTGGCCCAAGTTCAACTAAGCCAAAGGATACCAATACATACAATATCATTTAACTGCCAAGATGAAGGTGCCAATGACTTCCTGTGTAATCTGGCCAAGGACACGGGTGGAAGGTTCCACTATTTTTCAGAACATGGCATTGATATTGAAGTCGGGCCTGACCCTTGGGAGGTAAGTCAATGTGTTTATGGGAGGCTAATTTTCATTTGTAAAAATCCCCCAAATTAAGTAGCCAAAGTAACCAAAATTCCCTGTAATTTTAGTACCATGTAAATTAGTACCATTGGTGCATTGTAATGTTACAAGTCCACCAAATTAAGTAGCTGCCAAATGTTCATAAAAGCAAATCCGCCAAAATAAGTATCGCCAAATTAAGTATCAACTTGATGGATTCTTTTTAATTTAATTGATCTTTTTTTTCAAGTTGAATCCAATCCAAGTGAAATTCCCCACATTGTATGCCAAGGTTTTATGCATGATAAAAATGCATTTTGCTTATCTATGCCAAGTTGATCAATAAGTTCTGAGAAAGGACTCTAAATTACAGTAAGACTTTTTATTCCATGAATAAGATATCAAATAATAGCACTTATTAGAATTTCATTCACTCTCCTCTTTTTGGACAAATAAATGGTTATTCTAGTTACAAATTATTGATTTACAAGTTTTACCCCAGAACTTATTGATCAACCTTGGAAGACAATGTTAAGCCAATGTAGTTGATAATAATTGTAAGTTATAATGTATTTCCAGAGTGAAGATGTGAGGCTCCTAAGGCAGGAGTTGAATCTGGGAGAGACCAATTTAGAGAAAGTCGAGAAGCTAAGAGATGAATGCCAGGCTCTCTCATGGAGGAAAGAAGTCGTCAGGAAATGTAGCAAGTAAGCAATAATGGTTCATATTTCAAACTCAGATTTAATCAACCCTAATCAGGTATCATCAGGGGAGAGATTTAAGGAAAAACTAATATGAAAACACTGTACAGTTTTTTATGTCATCACCAGAAGTGGTGACATATTGTTCTAGTTTCCATATTTCTTTGTGGACGGTGTTCTTTGGTTGGTTTTTCGGTGGTTGGTGTTCACTGGTTGGAATTCGACAGTCTGCATCTGTAACAAATGGCAAGTAGTGACATTTTTCATGTTAATGCCTTGACTGTTATTTGTATACGGAGACACTGATTTAATTTTCTCCTTCCAATTTTGATATATTCAACTCTACTTCATATATTCCATTTTGAAGTATGCCAACCATGTTTCACTGTTTTTCAGAGAACACAGTCTACTAGGAAACAGAACATCAGCAGTGCCTGCATTGGACACAAAACTGCTCTACCGCTCCACTGTCAACTCAAACTCACTCTCACGGAGACCCAAGAGTGCCCATAAGGGGGTTAGATCCTCCCCTGTGCCCCCACCACGCCCCTCAACTTCCCTCAGTCACAGAGCAAAGTCTGCGCGATCACCCAGGTCAAGGTCATCAAGTGACCCTGCAAGGCCACTCAGTGGACGAAAGCCTCTTGTCTCTTGTAAGTTCAGATATGCTAGGAGTAATATTTTTCTGTTTTAATTTAATTAATATTGCCTTAATGTATTGTAGTTTACATTCCCCGGGTGTTAGTACAGTAAAAAGCCAATTTTAAAAGACATATGCTATCAATATGTAAAGGTACATGTCATTACATGATACAACCAAAAATTTTGTTATTCAATTTGTTAAACCAATTTAATGAGTGATCGGTTGTGATTGATCCCCTTGTAGGGCATAATTATATAATACATGTAGTTACTTTCACAGCTAAATTTATCCAATGGTTATCCTTCATTGCAGACCATACACGAACCAGTCTCCTAAGAACCCTGGGAAGTAGCGGCCATTTTGAAGAAAGTGAGTGGTTGCTACCGGAAACGAAGGAACTGTTTGAGAAACAGTATGAAAGACAACTTGTCTTGAATGAAGAAGGACAACAGAATCAGAAAAAACGAAACAGGAGAATTAAGAAACTTACAGAGTAAGTATTGGGAATATAGAAACTTAATGAGTATGTATTGGGAATATAGAAACCTAAGGACAATGTATTGGGGATATAGAAACTTACAAAGTGAGTATTTGGAATATGGAAACCTAAAGACAATGTATTGGGGATATAGAAATGTACAAAGTGCTAGTGAGTATTTGGAATATGGAAACTTAATAAAGACAATGTATTGGGGATATACATGTACATGTAGAAACATAGAGATTGAATATTTAGAATACAGAAACATAAAGGTTATGTGTTTCAAGTATAGAACACATATCTGTGCATTCATGAAATATTAGAAACATTGATTCATAGATCAGTTTATTTAAACATAATATCTTGTTTGTTACAGTGAAAAGTACATGTCCTCCAAGAAATGGCTTGGTACACACGGGTTGGTGGCTCGAAAGCTGACTATATTAGATGCCCTGGCGCCAACCATCATCCCACATACTCCTAAATACGTCCCTATACTTGACAAACATGTGCTTTCAAAGGTGTTTGATGATGTAAGTGTTACACATGATTGGGCCACCATTGTGGAATATTTGGGCTGAACGAACAGTTTGGGTAGTCTTAGGATAGGGTAAAGAAATAGTTTTGATAAAGATGGCAGCACAATCAATTTAGTTTAATTAAAGAGCAAGGAGGATTGCTCCCAGAATGCAACACCGATATTCTGCAAAACAATCACCTAGCGATAGCTTTGTTGGAGAGTATCGGGTCATTCTCCATGCAGTCGTACAAATTATACAGACACGATTAGCAAATGACGCATGCGTGGAGATTAAAGAATATCGAGTTGGAACCCTGGCTTCCAATCCTCCTTGATTAAAGAGAGAATATTATAAGGTTATACCACTAATGCCATCTTTATATCGGTTCAAAACCTATGCATTAAGGTTAGAGTTTTATGAGCAACTATTTGGCTAATAAAAAATATAGTTTATGTTCTTAATTAATTGTTTATGTTCTTTACTGATAGAATATTCTATTAATTATTTATGACTGCTATTGCTCTTAGATGTTTTTTTTGCTTTAATTATTTTGTAATACTCTTGTAACTAAGGAACAAAAAATTGATCATTCATTTTTTCAAAAAACATGATATCACTATCATGCATATCTGTTATCTTTTTAATCAATGATTAATTCATGTAAGTGCAGATATGTCAGACCCAATTGTCAGTTGTATTATAGGTGTTGCTCTGTGCATTTCTGTCTGATCCAATTTCAGGGAATGCGCACTTATCCATTAATTCATTAATTTAAAGGAATATTCCTTGCCAGACCCTTTCTCTCTTGATATGGTAGCTATAATCATATATATAGTTTCCATATTTAGCAAACATGGGAAAATGTTTTAATATGGTCAGTATTGTTCATTTAAAAATCTAGTGCTTATTTCCAGTGAGCTGCCATCTTTTAAGATATCTTGCAGGAAGTGATGTCATCAACTCTCAACTTTTATAACCTTGCCCTTAACGGTATAGAAGAGTAGCTCAAAATCACTTCTAGACAAGTGATCATTACTTTCTGTGCAAAAATATTTTCAGGGCTTGTCAACTTAGAATAAAAGAAGAGGTTTTCAGAAGGATTAAATAAAATACAAAGTTGAAAAAGAATATTTACCTGGTTTTGTTATTCTTAATAGCTCCTCACCTAATGCTATATGCAAAGTTGAGAGTCGATGACATCACTTCCTGTGTGAAATTTTAAAAGATGGCAGCTTACTGGAATTGAGCATCACATTTCTAAGTGATCAAATTTGACCATATCAAAACATTTTTGCGTGTTTTGCTAAACATGGCAAGCATATATATGGTTATAGCTACCATATGAGGAGAGAGATGGTTTGGCAAGGAATATTCCTTTAAATGTTCTATTTTTATGTTACAGATTATGCCTATCGCCCATGCCTCTACAAGTGATAAACGCAAGATTCAAACATTCTGTATTTATGTTACAGAATATGCCTATTGCCCATGCCTCTACAAGTGATAAATGCAAGATTAAAACATTATGTTTTATGTTACAGATTATGCCTATTGCCCATGCCTCTACAAGAGATAAACACAAGATTAAATCATTCGAGTTTCATGTTACAGATTATGCCTATTGCCCATGCCTCTACAAGAGATAAACACAAGATTAAATCATTCGAGTTTCATGTTACAGATTATGCCTATTGCCCATGCCTCAACAAGTTAAATGCAAGATTAAAACATTCTGTTTTATGTTACAGATTATGTCTATTGCCCATGCCTCTACAAGTGATGAATGCAAGATTAAAACATTTTCTTTTTATGTTACAGATTATGCCTATTGCCCATGCCTCAACAAGTGATAAACGCAAGATTAAAACATTCTGTTTTATGTTACAGATTATGTCTATTGCCCATGCCTCTACAAGTGATGAATGCAAGATTAAAACATTTTCTTTTTATGTTACAGATTATGCCTATTGCCCATGCCTCAACAAGTTAAAGGAATATTCCTTGCCAGACCCTTTCTCTCTTGATATGGTAGCTATAATCATATATAGTTTCCATATTTAGCAAAACATGGGAAAATGTTTTAATATGGTCAATATTGATTATTTAAAAATCTAGTACTTATTTCCAGTGAGCTGCCATCTTTCATGATTTCTTGCAGGAAGTGATGTCATCAACTCTCAACTTCTATAACCTTGCCCTTAACGGTATAGAAGAGTAGCTCAAAATCACTTCTAGACAAGTGATCATTACTTTCTGTGCAAAAATATTTTCAGGGCTTGTCAACTTAGAATAAAAGAAGAGATTTTCAGAAGGATTAAATAAGATACAAAGTTGAAAAAGAATATTTAGCTGGTTTTTGTAATTCTTAATAGCTCCTCACCTAATGCTATATGCAAAGTTGAGAGTCGATGACATCACTTCCTGTGTGAAATTTTAAAAGATGGCAGCTTACTAGAATTGAGCATCACATTTCTAAGTGATCAAATTTGACCATATCAAAATATTTTTGCGTGTTTTGCTAAACATGGCAAGCATATATATGGTTATAGCTACCATATGAGGAGAGAGATGGTTTGGCAAGGAATATTCCTTTAAACGCAAGATTAAAACATTCTGTTTTATGTTACAGATTATGTCTATTGCCCATGCCTCTACAAATGATGAATGCAAGATTAAAACATTTTCTTTTTATGTTACAGATTATGCCTATTGCCCATGCCTCTACAAGTGACAAACGGAAGATCAAGCTGGTGAACCCAAATGCTGTGGACCTGGAGGGTTATGAAGAAAGGCTACAGGGAGCCCTAAAGTCATATAAAAAGTCAGTATATTTCAATAAAAAAGCTTTGAATCATATGTTATTGAATCAATTTATATTATTATTTGCTTATATTTATAAAAGTTGGCTTCTGGGCCTTGATGAAAATTTGGGCATTAAAAGTCTCAAAATGTTTATTTTTGATGTTATTTTCATTGAAAATTTCTGACCTATTAAAATCTGTCTGTCCAAACTATAGTTTCTATGTAGGAAAATATACGACAATTTCCCATTATATCAGTAGGTTTGAAATCCATTTACCATATTTCTCTTTGACACATGTTCTAAAACAGTCTTCTGCTATGTCTGCTTTTATTAAACTATCTAATTAGCACCTTTCCTGGAAAAACTACAACAGTCGTATAAGCTATTGATATTATATATCAATTAAACTCAATTTTTTTAAAATTTATTTTATGAAGTATCATTTTTTTCACGTGTATGCACAGAACATAAATACTATTTCAAAGTCAAAATCTGTTTTTTGAGAAAATATGAATTCATGTGCAGTGAAATGAAATGCAAACTAATCAGAAGTCAAGAGTTTACGTGTAATACAGTAGGAATATCTTTAATTACACGACAGCATCAGAATGGAATAACAAGGGCCTATCATTGATGTATCAGTGTCGTGTCAGGGGTATTCATTCTGACAACAAACATGTATCCATAGCAAACCTATATTTTTAATTATCCCTGGGTATCATTCAGTGAAGTATCTCATCAAATAACATTTACGCCATTATGCACATATCAATTTAATTTTAAGCATTTAGTACATTGCAAATGTACTTCTAATTTACATCAATTTAGGTACATTGCAAATAATTGTATACATGGAGATTTTATTCCATTGCAATTGTATACATGGAGTCGTTAATACATATATGATAAATGACTTGTCTTATATACAAATATGTTTTCCCTTGTGTATGTATTCCTGAAAGACAACTGCATGAAATACGACAATTTTATGTCATCAATAGACTTTGAAATACTCTTTGTAATTATGATAGTTAGTTCCTTAATACTCAGAATTTCATTTTTTGAAAATGCTTCAAATACTTCAAATGCAGTCTCATTTTCAAATTTTCTTCTCAAAGCACATTCATTTCGTTCGCTTGTGGCGTACACTCACAAAATACCCAAACTACACCACTGACGAAGTGAATTAATTGTCTTTTAAAATTGATAAAAGTACAAGTACTAAAATTCAATTTCAAAAAATTCAGTGTTGCATGCTAATTTTTTTGGGCATTGATATTTTCAAAATCGAAGGTTTGCACCAGTATATCACTAATGCAGATCTTCAAAATTGAAAATCATTTTAGGGTCATTTAGGATTAGAATAAAGGACATTGCCCTTTAATTTAAGAATCATTTAGGATCAGAATTACGGACATTGCCCTGTTAATCTAAGGATCATTTTGGATAAGCATTATGGACATTGCCATTTTGATTTTAGGGTCATTTAGGATCAGAATTACAGACATTGCCCTGTTGACTTTTGGGTCAATTGCCAATTGCCTATTTAATCATGTGTATCATGTATGTATTAACTAGATATTAGATGATCATGTACGCTTATGAAATAATAATAAAATTAAAAAAAACGTACGCTTATGACCGATTTCAAGAACATATTTGTCTTCATTTCCTCTCATTTAGTTTAATTAAATCGTGTTCAGAAACATCATGAAGTAGTGACCAGAAATATAATACATTATTCTAATAATGTACTCAATTTAGAACCCGAAGAAGGCCAAGATTTTAATTAAAACAAATCAGATCATCATCATATCACATCATGGAATATCATATTTAAAACATTTCAATTTGCTTCCTAATTGGCAAGTCACTTCCAGAAATAATGAATAAGTACTATATAAAGTATTTGAAATACATGCTGTGAACTCAATCTGCAGAGATCCAAACAAACAAGATGAAGTTCGTCTTTATATTATGCTGTTTGCTATTGTACAGAGGAATGTTTGGTAACTTGTTAAGAACTGCAATGGATGGGACAGCTAAGGATGCTGACGTTGAAGCCTTCGAAGATGAACATGAAGAAGACATTGAAAAGCTGACCGACTTTGTGACTGAAAGTATTGTTGATGCTGTTTCTTGGGAGAATGCATTTACGACTGAACTGACGATTGACAAAACATCTGAAAAAGATAATGTCAATGCAACAACAATCCACGCTTGGAGAAAGAAAGAAATAATGTTAACACCTAAGGGAAGGTTAGTTCGGACAGTAACAAAGAGAGACTCAGTGATGCCAGTGCACCAGACAAATGAACGAGACAACTTTGACAATATATGTGAGTACAACAACTCTGAGATACAGAATAACTGTGCTACAAGGCGGTCATGCCAACACAGGTGCGGTCAATATGTGGACACATTTGCTGACTTCTATTGTCAGTGTGATTCAAACTGTGAGCACTATGATGACTGTTGCAAAGATTATGCCCCAATATGTCTTAATGAAACATCCCCTGCAGCAACAACAACGCAAAAGTCTGTATTTGCAAAATCCAAGTCTGAAAGGTCTGAATACACATGTAGGTGGATATCATATTATTCTTATGTGTATTTGAGGTCCAAATGTCTACCAGAACATCAAGGAAGCAATCTGGAAAGACAATGTAAGAACACTAATACAATCTTGGAAAGGAATCCAGTACATGACTATACAACTGGACTGAACTACAAAAATATTTACTGTGCACAATGTAACAATATAGGAGACAGGGTCAAACCATGGGTAACTAAAGTCCAGTGTGAGAAAAAAGGAACATCTTATAAAGATATCAATGTTAAATTACTCAATGCAGGTGTTTCTTTTATTCTTGACTTTCTAAAGCAGAATGACAAATGTAGCTTAAAGTTTTTACCACCGACAAAGATGAGGCAATGTTTGCCTACAATATACGAGTGTACAAGATGTAAGGACAGTGAGATCAAACATCTCTGTGCTTCAACAGGGCAAGACATTATCTATGTATCCCCATTTTATCTATACCACAATTGGTACTGCATGAAATGTGCTAGTGATCATATATGGGGTCTTTGTACTATATTAGGTATGGAACAGGACCTATATAATGACATTGAGAATCCATTCTTTTCACTTCAGTTATTATTTGACCTCAACTCCAAGAAGTTAATCAGTACAGATGGGGGGCTCAGTATTCAGTCTTTAGAGTTTGATTGTGATGTCGGAGGCTCATGTAAAGCAAGTAAATGTCCAAAGGGTTATGCTTTGAGTGACCGCTCATGTTTGCTGGTCAGTAGACTCGTTAGGGTTGTCATTACATGTCGCTTCGAACTCTCTTATGCTACTTACATGGTTGCTAACAGAGCAGAATTTTACAAGTATGTCCGTAAAACAACACATGCTTTGATTGGGGAAGCCTATCAACCAATAGGGTTCATAGAGTTTTTTTATATTCCTCACTATAAAGGTTTTTTCACTCAAGGTACTGCTGGGTTTGAATTCAATGTAACAATTGGTTCTGATGCAAGCAATGCTACAATTTTGAACTTGATGTCTCAGATGTTTGAGAAATGTACTAGAATTGCAAACCAAACCATTGAACACCCACCTGAGCTGAACATGACATATAAATTGTTACCATATGTACCATCCCTCCCAAGAGATCTCTCTGAGAGTCAGGAAACTCAGCCTAAGAATCAGAATATTGATAAGAGGGGGAATGGTGTTGGTCAATTAGAGATGAGGTTGTTGCCATGGTTATGTTGTTTCATTATATTCCTAGATTTTTGAATATTGACAACAATAGCAGTGATGGAAGGCTAGAGATGAGGAAATGAGGTACATGTAGTCATGGTAATGTTGTCATCTTTTTACACTTTTGAATATTCACAACCATGTTGATAGATTAGAGATGAGGTTTTTGCCATGGTTATATTGTTTCATTATAATTTTAGATTTTTGAATTTTGACAACAAGAGCAGTGTTGGCAGGCTAGAGATGGGAAAATGAGGTACATGTAGTCATGGTAATGTTGTCATCTTATTACACTTTTGAATATTCACAACCGTGTTGATAGATTAGAGATGAGGTTTTTGCCATGGTTATATTGCTTCATTATAATTTAGATTTTTGAATTTTGACAACAAGAGCAGTGTTGGCAGGCTAGAGATGGGAAAATGAGGTACATGTAGTCATGGTAATGTTGTCATTTTATTACACTTTTGAATATTCACAACCGTGTTGATACATTAGAGATGAGGTTTTTGCCATGGTTATATTGTTTCATTATAATTTTAGATTTTTGAATTTTGACAACAATAGCAGTGTGGGCAGGCTAGAGATGGGAAAATGAGGTACATGTAGTCATGGTAATGTTGTCATCTTATAACACTTTTGAATATTCACAACTGTGTTGATAGATAAGAGATCAGGTTTTTGCCATGGTTATATTGTTTCATTATAATTTTAGATTTTTGAATTTTGACAACAATAGCAGTGTTGGCAGGTTAGAGATTGGAAAATGAGGTAGTTTCCATAGTAATGTTGATATTACACTTTTGAGTATTGACAACACAGTTTGTACATTAAAGATGAGGTTGTAACCCTGATTATGTTGTTTCATTTTATTCTTGGACTTTTGAATATTGACAACACAGTTTAAGGATGAGGTTGTTATCATGTAACATTGTTTCATTATATTCTGAGTATGGGTGTAGACAATGAAGCTAGCAAAAAGAGGAATCACCTCAAATGGAACAAAAGTATACTTTTGTGTTTTGTGAAAAAAATAAATGTATGATGAATATAATGAATATTTCAGTGCCATTTATAAAAAGTTCCTATTTAGTTTAAGATTCCAATAATGTCCTATTTGTAGATTGTTTGGGAAATATACACATAAGTCATACAATTACACAAATGTGATTGTGAGTTCAGTTTCTTTAATATAGAAATAAATTTTACTTATTCACAAAAATAAATGAATATACATGTAGATCAA